TCAACCTTGCTAGGACATGTGCATACCACCAAGCCTGGCTAATTTTTTTTTTTTTTTTTGAGACAGAGTCTCACTTACTCCATTGCCCTGGCTAGAGTGCCATGGCGTCAGCCTAGTTCACAGCAACCTCAAAGTCCTGGGCTCAATCAATCCTCCTGCCTCAGCCTCTCAAGTAGCTGGACTACAGGCATGCGCCACTAGGCCCGGCTAACTTTTTCTATATGTTTTAGTTGGCCAATTAATTTCTTTCTATTTTTAGTAGAGACGCCGGTCTCACTCTTGCTCAGGCTGGTTTTGAACTCCGACCTTGAGCAATCCGGGGGGGGGACGGCATAGGATTTTATTTAGTTCACATATCACATATGCATACATATGATTATGATATACATGGATGTAATATTAAAAACTGAACAGAAGGATCAAAAGCTTGGTAGCAAAATGTTAGTATTTGCACAACTTACCTTCTTCCATTTACTTTATTTTCTACTTGTTGAATCTTCTATTTTCTGGGAGATTTCTTTGAATAACCCTACTATGAGATTTTTTAAACAACCACATTTAACTTCCTAGAACATGTTTTTGTTTGCAGATGCTTCCTATTTCATAAAATTATGTCCTTGTTTTTGTTAATCTTTGCCCATCTATTCATATTGAAGAATGCAGGTCAGAGGCAGTGGCTCACACCTGTAACCCTAGCACTTTGGGAGGCCAAGAAAGGAGGACTGATTGAGGTCCAGGAGTTCAAGACCAGCCAGGGCAACCAGGAAGACCCCATCTCTACAAAAAGTAGAAAAATTAGCCAGTTGTGGCAGTATATGCCTATAGTCCCACCTACTCAGCAAGCTAAGATCAGAGAATAGTTTGAGCCCAGGAGTTGGAGGATGCAGTGGACTATGATCACACCACTGCCCTCTAGCCTGGGTGATAGAGCAAAACCCTGTCTCAAAAAAAAAAAAAGCAGCAATAGACAATTTAATTAGGAACTTTGTGTAACTGGCCATGTAATTCTTTTCTTGCAGGTATCTTTGGACTAGTGTTCCAGAGAAAATCATTTGTAAGACATTGTTTTCTAGTAATATCTACTACAGTTTACTAATAATCTCATTTCCTGTCATCCCTCAGAATTTCAGGTCAGCCATCTTTTACATGAAAGTGAGCCCTCTGAAAACCAGAAATTCTTTGTATGGAGTACAACTTTGTCCCTAGGGTGTACACATTTGGTGCTCATACCACATTCACCTACAGTAACAAATGAGGTAGTCCTTGGCTGCTTCTTGGACTCCCATGTTTACTTTTGCTGCTAAGTCTTATCTGAGGTCTGGTTCCATACCTCTTAGCACTTTCCGTTTTGTTTCTTCAACTGAGATTAGCCAAATTTTGCTGAGTACCTTAGGGGGAACTATGCATAATCACTACAGAACCTGCTGAGAAACTTCAGCATTCACATAAACAAGGATTTGGGCAATTCATTTTATTGCTATCAGTTTGAAAATAAATGAACTCAATCCAAACCCAACAGCATATTAGGCCTGCAACAAGATTCACTGGATTTAATCCACAGTTTAGGATTATACTCTGGGGGAAAAAAAAATTGCCCCCTATTCGTTCAGCTTTGAGAATGGTACTGGAGGGATTTCTTCTGTCTTAATTCAAGCTGGGACTTTACAGCTGGCTTGGCAGTTGGGCGAAAATCATCACCTACGATGGCAGGAAGAACAAATTTCTCTTTGTATCAATGGACAAGAAATATAACTGGTGATTTTTCGGCACAGAAAATCTTTTGTGGTTTCTCATATTCCTAACTTGTATTGCATTCTTGCTCCAAGGACCCCTGCTCCTAAAATCCGTCTACTAGTAGGTTTGGCTGTGGGCGCCCGGCCAACATCATCCTGCTCAGTGCTTTGGCTGTCCTGGTCTGCCTCAGCTCCAGTCAGCCTCTATCATTGCTAACAGCTGGCTAAGCCTTTTCTTAACGTCAGGCTTATCTGGAACAGGGCAGGACTTTGTGTGTACTCTGATGTGCTCAGCAAGTTTAGCCTTATAAATGAAGCCTTTCCCACAGTCGCCACAGACGAAGGGCCTCTCGGGCCTGTGTATGCGCTGGTGCCTCAGCATGTGTCCCCTTTCGCGGAAGTTTTTATCGCACTCGGGGCAGCGGAACGGCCTCTCCCCCGTGTGCAGGCCTTGGTGGTTGAGCAGCTGTGCCTTCAGGCGGAAACTCTTGTCACATTTCGGACACTGAAAAGGCTTCTCTCCCGTGTGTGTCCGGATGTGTTCGACAAGTTTAGACTGTCTGGCGAACCCCTTGCCACACTTGCAAGAGAACGGCATCTCCTCGCGGTGCCGCAGCTGGTGCGCCTTCAAGTAGGCCTTCACGCGGTAGCTCTTGCCGCACTCCGGGCACTGGAAGGGCCTCTCCCCCGTGTGCAGGCGCTGGTGGCTGAGCAGCTGGTCCTTGAGGCGGAAACTCCTGCTGCACTGCAGGCACTGGAAGGGCCTCTCCCCGCTGTGCACGCGGAAGTGCTCCGCGAGCTTGGACTGTCTGATGAAGCCCTTGCCACACTCGCCACATGAGAACGGCCTCTCCGCGCTGTGGGTGCGCTGGTGCGCCTTCACGGCGCCCTTCACGCGGAAGCTCTTGCCGCACTCCGGGCACTGGAAGGGCCTCTCCCCGCTGTGCACTCTCAGGTGCTCGCGCAGCTTGCACTGGTGGGTGAAGCCCTTGCCACACTCGCTGCAGGAGAAGCGCCGCTCGGCGCCGTGCCGCAGCCGGTGGGCGGTGAGCATGCTCTGCAGGCGGAAGCTCAGCCCACACTGCGGACACTGAAAGGGCTTCTCGTCCGCGTGCAGCCGCTGGTGCCTCAGCAGCTGTCCCCTCTGGCGGAAGTTCCTGCCACACTCTGCACACCAGAAAGGCTTCTCCCCACTGTGGACCCGGATGTGCTCTGCGAGTCTGCCCTGTCTGGTGAAGCCCTTGCCACACTTCCCGCAGGAAAAGGGTCTCTCTTTGCCGTGCACGCGCAGGTGGACCTCCAGCAGGCGGCTCAGGCGGAAGCGCTTGTCGCACTCTGGGCACTGGAAGGGCTTATCTCCCAAGCGCACCCTGAAGCGGTTGGCGAGCAGGGACCTCGTAGGGAAGCCCTTGCCACACTCCGTGCACGAGCAGGGCCTCTCCACGCCGGGGCTGGGCGGCTGAGTCTGTGTGTCACAGTCCAGGCACGGGCCTGGCTTCTGGCCCGAGTGTGCACTGGCGAGAGCGCCGTGGCCTTCTCTCCAGGAGGCTGGCCTCTCCCCGCCCCGCCGGCACTGGAGGGCCTGCGCGCTGTCCACCGCGGGAAAGCTCCGGTCGTTTTCCGGGGACTGGGAAGGCTTCTCCTCCGTACGCACGGGGTGGTGGCTGAGAAGGGTCCGCTCCTGCCGGAAGTACATTTTACACTCAGGGCACTGGAATGGGCTCTTCCCTGGATGGGCAGCCAGATGTTTCAGCAAACTCTTACCACACTGGTGACATGTTAAGTGCCTCTGTGCCCGAGGGGCACTCTGCTGCGGCTGCACATCCGCTCGTCTGCCTAATTTCTTCCAGGCTCGAGGCAGGTCCTTCCAGTGGCTCCTCTGGTGATTTACTAAGTGGTTCTTCTTCCAAAAGCTTTCCCCGCAGACAGGGCAGGGGTGCTGGTCGCTGTTCCAGGAGGGGACTTCCTGCAAACCAGGGACATCCAGATTTATGGGACCTGGGTTTCCTTCTCTTTGGGTAGATTCGCTGCAGCCGTGGACTACTGGAGTTAGAGCCTGAGCGTCCTGTCTCTGTGGGCTCATGAGGGTGATGCCCTGGGCAGGCTTGGAGGAAAGCCCTTCCCTTTCTCCAATAAAGGGGCCAACGGGATACTGGCTCTGAAGAGGATCTACTTGGAAATGGCATTTGGTTTCTCCTGAATTCACAGCATGCTGGCTTCCTGAAATTGAAAACAAAACTTCAGTCAGTATTCCTGCCTACGGCATGACTAAAGACTGTCACCAATAGAGTGAGCCGTAAGGGTGACCTGTAGTGGCCTGGGACTCCAGCTTCCACTGAGCTACCAACCATATAGTGTGGTTCTATTTCACGTCCAAAGTGAGTTTGGTAAATGCTAAACCTAACAGACATTAATATTGAAAAGAAGAAAAGACAGATCACAAACTCAGGGTCTAAGCCAGGGGTCCTCAAACTTTTTAAACAGGGGGTCAGTTCACTGTCCCTGACTGTTGGAGGGCCGGACTATAGTTTAAAAAAACCTACGAACAAATTCCTATGCACACTGCACATATCTTATTTTGAAGTAAAAAAACAAATGGGCAAAAACACTTCCATGTGGCCCATGAGCCGTAGTTTGAGGACGCCTAGTCTAAGCTGTGCAGCCAGACTGCCTGGGTTCAAATCCCATTTGTCAAGCTAATCTGTCTTGGCTTCAGCTCCTTCTGTGGAAACAACAGTTCATAAGATTATTGTAAAAACTAAATGAGCAATGAGCACCAGGTACTTAGCATGGTCCTGGCAGAGTGTACAGACTCCATAAGTGTTGGCCACTATTATGACTTTAGGACTTACCCCATGACTACAGACACACCTGGAGGGATGAGGTGATGATGGCAGTAAGTTCCTAACAGAGAGAGCCCTGACTGTTACACAGTCACATGTAATCCACGAGCTGTCCTGTCTGCAGCCAGGCAAGGCTCAGCTCTATTCCTCCCTCCCTGTTCCCATTCCTACCAATGTTTTGAGAAGGTTTCTTGGAAGAATCATTAATAGAAAGTAGAAAGTAAAATAATTTGTGGAGAAAAACCTCCTTTGTGCTCGGGAAAGAAGCAGCTAAAACCTAAAACTATTTTACTTTTTCATTCTGTACTTTAATACTGACTTTTAAGAATACAAAAATCTCAGACTCTCCTATCATGACAAGAAATGAAAGAGGAGAGCTGATATTTAAGTATCCAAATAGACAATAGTTTCTACATAGGAAGAAAGCCATGTTGGTCCTAAAGATCTGGATAACCAGTCTCTGCTTCTGTTCCTTTTCCACTAAGAAGTTTACATTTACTGAGCTCTTACTCTTGCTAGGGATCATTTTAACACTATATACATTAACCTGTTTAATCCTGTAACAGAGGTACTTTCATTCTTTTCATTTTTTAGATCAGGCATTGAAATACTGAAAGTTTAAATAATTTGCTCAAGGTCACCCAGAAAGGGCAAGATCCAACTCAGGTCCAGATGCCACGCTTCTGACCACTATGCTTACTGCCTTTCTCTAGAATATAAGAGACATCAAGCATTAGTTCAAACAGGAAGACAAGATCAGAAAAGGGAAATGAAGAAGTCTGAATGTGAAGTCTTAAGGTCAGGGCCCTGATTTCTAAATACTCACCCCAAAACAGCTGTCCCTCAATAACTGGATCAAAATGCAAATCAGCAGAGGAGCAAATTATGTTTCCTGATTTCTGTGATTCTCTCCAGTCCCTGAAGGGCTCTCTCCCCTGTTCAAGCCAGGATATCAGTTCCGGTTTGGGAAGTCCATCATCTGTACAGAGAAGTCAGACAGGGTAGTTTGGCTTCCTTCAGCATTAAATTTAAAGCACCTCTAAATTTCTCAAAATTCATTCCTGGGACAATATATGAGAAGAGATGTCAAAAACTAGGTTATAGATTCACAGAAAGAGGAACAAAACTGCCCACTACATCATAACAGTGCTTCCTAATCTATCTGGACCTGTTAGACCAGTTGTGTTTAAATTTCGTCATGGTCCCCATACATCTATAATAGTAATGCTGTATTTTATCCACAAACAACATGGCAAATGCTACAATATTTTTAATAACCATTTAATAACAGGTAATCTCAGGGTTCAATTAGTCAAAAGGATTTTTAAAAACAATGCCTTAATTTATTTAAAATATTTCTAGCACATGGAGAAAAATATACAAAAACCTAGGTGACATCTAACTTTGTCAAATCTTTCCATATTGACATATTTCAGGTTTTGGTTTTTTTTGAGACAGAGTCTTGCCCTGTTGCCCGGGCTAGAGTGCTGTGGCGGCAACCTAGCTCACAGCAACCTCAAACTCCTGGGCTCAAGCAATCCTTCTGCCTCAGCCTCCTGAGTAGCTGGGACTACAGGCTTGCGCCACCATGCCCGGCTAATTTTTTCTATATATTTTTAGTAGAGATGGGGTCTCACTCTTGCTCAGGCTGGTCTCGAACTCCTCCTGATCTCAAACAATCCACCTGCCTTGGCCTCCCAGAGTGCTAGGATTACAGGCCTGAGCCACCACACGTGGCTCATACTTCTGGTTTTTAAAATGTATGCGATACTACACAGTTTAAGCCACTGTATGTCCCTCTCCAGAGGTAAGCGCTACCCTGCCTAGTGTTTATCATTCCTATGTATGTTTTTAAATACATACATGTAAATATATAAAATGCTGGTTTTAAACTTTACATAAATCATACCATATTATACTGCAATTTGCTTTTCTCCCCACAAATTATGTTTTCAAAATTTCTCCATTTTGAAATACTTGGGTTTGTTCATTTGATAGTATTTGATTATAGGAATATATCACAATTGGTCTTCTCTTTCCTCTGTTCACTGGCATGCCTCTTTAAGTCCACACAAGCATCAGCAGTCCTCGAAGTGAACTGCTGTATTCCTGGGTAAGTGTGTCTCCAACTTACTGTATATTACCAAATTGCTCTCCAAAGTGGCTGTGCTGATTGACAATCTCATCAGCAGAGTAGGAGTGTTTGCTTTGTTTCCCATCTTGACAACATGTGGTGCTATCAGATGTTTTTCTGTCTCTAATATAGTACCACATAGTAAGTCTTGCTGTAAGATAGGACAATCACTTTCCATCTTTTTTCAAAAATTTGTCTTTGTTCTTCCATGTTCTTTAGGATCAGCTTATCAAATTCCATGAACAGCTCTATTGGGATTTGGACTGGAATTGCTTTGAAGGTATATGGTTCAGGGAGAACAGACAGAAGGCAGGAAGGTCCATGTCACTGACTGTATGACTAAAGAGGATGGATAATCATAGGGATATGATGAAAGCATGTGTTAAAAAAAGTCATTAAAAGCCCAAGAAAAATCCAAATCTAAAAAAATCATGGCCTAACAGCAAAACAAATTAAAATGTAGCATAATTTTGAACTGATGAATATAAGAAAAAAAGGAAATACATTTGATTTGATGCTTAGAATATACTTTTTGTAGTAGTACAGGGTTAATGATATACAATTATATTTATTTCTCTCTAGATTCAATTGAAACCAGTTCTTCAGTAACAATGAAAATAACAATGTCTTAGATTACATGGTTCAGAAACAATCCACAGATACAGCCTGGAAAACTTAACAGAACAGAATATAAATATTAGAAGCCTTGCAATATAAAGGAAGTGGTATGGCTGTCATGAACTGGCAGGAGAGATGAAGGAAGTACTAGAGAACTACTTACCTTATCTTTAAATACTAAAAAAGACAAGAGATCTAATATAAAGTTGATGGAACACAATCTAGAAGTTTAAATATATTAAATTATAAAGCTAACAACGGAGGCACAAAAAACTATCAAAAATTGGGAAGAAAGGAGAAAAGGAGATAGAAGAATGACTGCACAAGTAGGCCAATGCCTGATTTTTCATAGCAATTAATTAATACTTATCTAAACTCAATAAATCAAAGAACAAAGTTAGTGTAAGCATATTTAGATTGGAGAAAACCATATTTAGATTTGAGAACTGAAACAGAAATGGTTAAAAGAGATTGCCTTTAGGGAGTTAATTGCAAGGGGTGGGCGGTGCCAGGGCTGGGGGCGGGGGGATGGGGTATAAGAATGAAGTAACAGTCTTCTAGCTTTGATTAGATGCTTCTCTGAAGAGACTGATTTTTAAGGCCCAGCAGTGGCTCATGCTGGTATTTCTGGCATTTGGGGAGGCTGAGGTGGGAGGATTGCTTGAGGCCAGGAGTTTTACAACAGGAGTTTTAAAACAGTTTTACAACAGTGAGACCCTATTTCTACAGGGTCTCACTCTGTTGTCTGGGCTAGAGTGCAGGGGTAGCATCATAGCCCAATGCAGCCTCATATTCCTGGATTCAAGCAATCCTCCTGCCTCAGCCTCCTGAGTAACTAGGACTATAGGTGCACACTACCATGCCTGACTAATATTTTCTATTTTTGTAGAGATGGGGTCTCGCTGTTGCTCAGGCTGGTCTTGAACTCCTGACTGTAAATGATCCTTGCCTTTGGCCCCCCGGAGTGCTAGGATTCCAGGCATGATAAGCCATGCCCAGCCTACAAAAAATTTAAAAATTAGCCAGGCATGGTGGCATGCACCTATAGTCCCAGCTACTCAGGAAGCTGAGACAGGAGGATTACCTGAGTCCAGGAGTTGGAGGCTGCAGTGAGCTATGATGAAACCATTGCACTCTAGCCTGGGCGACAAAGAGAAACCCTGTCTCAAAAAAACAAAACAAAACAAAAAAATCACATTTGATAAATAAAAGAAATATAAAGAATAAGCAAAACAACCAGAAGAACATCCATAACCATTACCAGGCAGAGATAGTTACTCGTAAACACCTCATTGTATAGTCTTCAAAAATCTCATTTTAGGGAGTAATAACATTAGCTTTTCTGAATTTTTTAGACCCCACTGTAAAAGTTGTCACGTAGGGACATCCAAGGTTAAAGATATACAGCTTAGGCTGGGTGCAGTGGTTCATGCCTGTAATCCCAGCACTTTGGGAGGGCGAGGCAGGAGGATCACTTGAGGCCAAGGGTTGAAGACCAGCCTGGGCAACACAGGGAGACCCTGTGTCTACAAAAAATTAAAACATTAGCCAGATGTGGTGGTGTATGCCTATACTGCTAGCTACTTGGGAAGCTGAGACAGGAGGATCACTTCAACTCAGGCCTTCGAGGTTACAGTGAGCTTTGATCGCACAATGGCACTCCAGCCTGGGCGAAAGAACAAGTCCCTGTCTCTGAAAAACAATTTTACACACACACACACACACACACACACACACACACACACACACACTATGTGTAAAGTCACAGCACCCTGAAAGTAATGACAAAAAGCCCCAATATATAGTCACCTTTAACCATCTACATTACATGTTGTCTCAAATATTGTCATGTAAGGCCTATCCTTGAGTAAGGATTACCAAACTCGGGAAAAATGCCTTTCTGAGTTAATTTCTGAGAACTCTTGCTACTTGACAAACAAAAGCACCAAGTGACTGAGACTTCCTCCAGGATCCAGTTCCTTGACTGACCCACAAAGGTGGACACTTCTTACCTAGAGAGATGAGCATCTCATAATTGGTTCTCATCACATGCTTGTAAAGCTCCTTCTGCCATGCCTCCAGGTTCTGCCATTCTTGCTCCGAGAAATAAATGGCAACATCCTCAAAAGTCAGAGGTAACTGAAATTATAGACATAGTACATACATAGTCATGATTGCTCCAAAGTGACTCCAGCTCCTGTTTTTGTTCAGCAGCTTCCTCCTGGGAACTGCTCTTTCCTCTACCCCAATCGTGTGGTGCTGCTGTGAACCACCACAAGCCCTCCAGGAGTTTCTTTATGTTTGTCCCAACTATATATACATATGTAGAGTATGCAACTTTTTTTCTTTACAAAAATGGGAGCAAATCACTGTGTAACTTCATTCACTTAATGTCACAGACATCTTTCCAGGTCAATACATAGAGGCAAACTCATTCTTCAGTATGTTACATTACATTGCATGAGTAGATACACTCCACTAATGGGACATATATTGTTTCCATCTCTTTATAGGTTACCAACAATGTTCTGATGTACTTCCTTATGTATTAGTACTTCTACTTCCGTAGGATAAAGTCTAAAAAGGAGAACTACTAAATCAAATGGTATAAATATCTTCAGTTTTAATAGATATCACTAGATGCCTTCCAGAAAGAGCCTAGTATGTTTACCTTTGCTATTGAGATGAGACTTCCTGTTTCTTTACACTTTTGACAGCACAGGATGTTCTTAAATCTTATATTTTGCCAGTGTGATGGGTGGCAAATAATATTTTATTGCCTTAATTTACATTAATTGGTGAGGCTTAGCATCACTTTCATACTTTTTGGCTCTCTGCATATTTTTGTGAATGACCATTCACATCCTTTGCTCAGTGAATTCTTATATCTTAAATGAACTTTCTTATATTAGGGTTAATAACCCTTTTTTTTTTTTTTGAGCCAGAGTCTCGCTTTGTTGTCCAGGCTAGAGTGAGTGCCGTGGCGTCAGCCTAGCTCACAGCAACCTCAATCTCCTGGGCTCGAGCGATCCTTCTGCCTCAGCTTCCGAGTAGCTGGGACTACAGGCATGCGCCACCATGCCCGGCTCATTTTTATCAGTCGGCCAATTAATTTCTTTCTATTTATAGTAGAGACGGGGTCTCGCTGTTGCTCAGGCTGGTTTTGAACTCCTGACCTTGAGCAATCCACCCGCCTCGGCCTCCCAGAGAGCTAGGATTACAGGCGTGAGCCACCCGCGCCCAGCCTTAATAACCCTTTGACTAACTGACAATCATCTTCTCTATTTGTCTTTTGTCAAATAGAAAATTGACCCTTTTATTTAATTAAATCAGTACATATTTATCATATTGTTACCATATTTTTCTTTTAAGTGTTCCCCACATCAAAGTTATATAAATATTCCACTAAAGGCTTTTTACATTTGCAATTTAATTCTATAGATGAGATTGGCATTTTTATTACACACATATGGATAGCCAATCATGCAACACTATTAAATATACCATTCTTTCTTAGATTAAAATGCCAGCCTTCAAGGCCGGGTGTGGTGGCTCATGCCTGTAATCCTAGCACTCTGAGAGGCCAAGGCGGGCGGACTGCTCGAGGTCAGGAGTTCGAAACTAGCCTGAGCAAGAGCAAGACCCTGTCTCTACTATAAATAGAAAGAAATTAATTGGCCAACTAAAAATATATATAGAAACAATTAGCCAGGCATGGTGGCACATGCCTGTAGTCCCAGCTACTTGGGAGGCTGAGGCAGCAGGATCACTTGAGCCCAGGAGTTTGAGGTTGCTGTGAGCTAGGCTGACACCAGGGCACTCACTCTAGCCTGGGCAACAAAGCGATACTCTGTCTCAAAAAAAAAAAAAAAAAGCCAGCCTTCAACCTTTGCAGTTGAACATGTCCTTCACACCACATGTCTGACCTGCCAGGGTCCACTTATATGTGGATTTTTTCTTTTTTTTTGAGACAGAGTCTTGCTTTATTGTCCAAGGTGGAGTGCAGTGGCATCATCATAGCTCACGGCAACCTCAAACTCCTCAGATCAAGTGATCCTCCTGCCTCAGCCTCTGGAATAGCTGGGGACTCCAAGTGCACACAACCACACCCAGCTAATTTTTACATTTGTGTAGAGATGAGGTCTCACTACGTGCTCAGGCTAGTCTCAAACTCCTGGCTTCCAGCAACCCTCTTGACTTGGCCTTCCAAAGTGGTGGGATTACAGCCAGTAGCCACCACCCCTGGCCAGTTCTTTTAATTTAGACAGCTCCTCACCAGCTTTGAGGTTGCAGTGTGCTATGATGACGCCACTGCATTCTCACCTGGGCAACAGAGCAAGACCCCGTGTCAAAAAAAAAACAAAAACAATACAACATTTTTGAAGATTTGCAACAATTAGAAAAAACTCACAAATGAACCACATAGCCTAGAAATATCACAAAAATTAAGAAAAAATTAGGTATGTCATGAATGAATAAAACATAGATACTAGTCTATTTTATCACTTCCATAAAATATACACAAATCTATTATAAAATTTATTAAAATTCACACAAACAGTACCTGCCATTCATAGTTAAATGTAAATAATGTAAATATGCAGTATTAAATCATAAATACATATTAACTGTAGTACATACTATACTACTATAATAATTTTGTAACCATCTCCTGTTGCTATTGTAGTGAGCTCTTGTTGAGGTACCCAAGTATCTGCATGAAATACTGTGTGATGCTATCATCTCCAAATGGGCAGTTTCTCCAGTAACTAGCGTATTGTAGTAAAAAGTGATCTCTTCACGTTCCCACATATTTCTCACTGTGTTTACTGCAATACCATAAACCCTGAATAACACCATGGGCCCCATATTAAGTGCCACTAATGATGCTGGAAGTGCTTCCAAGAAGCAGAGAAAAGTCATGACAGTATAAGAAAAAGCTGCATTGCTTTATGTGTACCTAGACCAAGGTCTGCAGCTGTGGTTGCCTGCCATTTCAAATAGATGATTCATCTTGCAAACAGATGACATAAATTGAAGGTATCAGTAAGTACATTACAGTACTATAAATATATTATCTCTTCCTAAGGTTTTCTTAATAACATTTTTTCTGTAGGTTACTTTACTGTAACAATCTAGTATATAATACACATAACATATAAAATATGTGTTAATTGGCTGTTTGTGTAATTAGTAAGGCTTCTGGTCAACAAGCAGGCTATATAGTAGCTGTTTCTGGGGAGTAAAAGTTATATACAGATTTTTGACTGCATGCAGTTGGGAGGGGAGTTGGAGTCCCTAACCCCTGCATTGTTTGAGGGTCAACTGTAATTCTTTTTCCAAATGAGTGTTTATCACATTTACTGAATAGTCTATTCTTTTACCACTGATTTGGGATTTTTTTTTCATAGATTCCAATTTATTCTTGGGTATATTTTTGTTCCACTGGTGAATTTGTTTCTTCCTGCCCCAATACTGCACTGTTTAATTCTTACAGTTTTATCAAATGTTTTGTTATTTGAAAGAACATGGCCATCCACCACCACAATCAACCACAATCTGGCTCAGAATCCTAACTCTTTAAAGACATTCTTCCAGGCTGGGTGCGGTGGCTCACGCCTGTAATCCTACCACTCTGGGAGGCCGTGGTGGGTGGATCGCTCAAGGTCAGGAGTTCGAAACCACCCTGAGCAAGAGCGAGACCCCTCTCTACTATAAATAGAAAGAAATTAATTGGCCAACTAATATATATAGAAAAAATTAGCCAGGCATGGTGCCACATAACTGTTAGTCTCAGCTACTCGGGAGGCTGAGGCAGCAGGATTGCTTGAGCCCAGGAGTCTGACGTTGCTGAGAGCTAGGCTGACGCCACGGCACTCACTCTAGCCTGGGCAACAAAGCGAGACACTGTCTCAAAAAAAAAAAAAAGACACTGTTCCGAATTCAGTGATTATGATGCAAAAGTGTGGTTGGGCTATAACTCTCAGCTCTAGCCACAGACCTATTTCCATCCTTTCCCCCGTCCGCTCGTCGCCATGCTGGGGCCCCTCGCCCGGGCTCGCCCACGGTCCACGCTCAGCTCTGTTCCGGGGTTTGGCCACGGAGGAGCTGCTGGAGCGGTGACCACCGGCTCCCTGCAGCGCCGGGTCCCTACACCCCAACCCAGGCGACCTCCCGGCTGAGTCCCACCCACGCACCGCAGCTGCCCACGGAAACCCAGCCCGGTAACCGAGAACCCGCCTAGAACCCCGAAAGTGGGCGTCCGCGTAGAGTAGCCTCTTACCGGAGCCGGCTCGGCCATCGCCTCCCGCGGCAACTCCTGGGCGGGACAACACCGACAGTCCCAGGCGACTCCGCGGGAACCAGCCCGTCAGCGTACGGTAGCTCTCCACCCCACGGCCCCAGCCTGAACCCGGCTCCACCCCCGACGCTGCGCAAGCCAGGGCGCGGTGCACCCTGGGATTCGGGGGGCCGCGACGCCTCTGCCCACAGCGCCCCCGTCGGGCGGGAGGAGCCGCCGCAGTCCCACGAACGATCCTCAGAGGCGAGATCTGGGGCCAAGGCCGCCCAGCCCCACAGCGCCCCCTGCTACCGGGAGGAGCAGGCGCCGCTGGGGACGGCCCTGAGACTAGGGCAGCCAGGCTGGCCCAGGCCGCGCAGGCCACTGGATCCTCGGACTGTGTTGGGATCTCCAAGGGAGGGAAACAGTGGGAGAGGAGCTGGAGGGACTGAAGAGAGAGGGGCACGGGTGCGGCAGCCGGAAGTGGAGAGGGCAGAGTCAGGGACCGGGAGACACATCCCCCCAGAAGCCAGACTGAGAGCAGGAGCCGGCGGAGAGAAGTGTCTGGGGCTGGGTCGGTCCCTCCGGAGCCACCCTGAGTCACCTGCGAGGGAAGCCCAGGGATCGCGCGAGGGCGGCGGGACCGTCCCGGAGGGATCACCGTGGAGCACGCAGCGTTTCAATTATATTTCTTGACCATGTTAATGTTTCTCTTGTCTTTGACCTAGCTATAGAATATTTTTCTTATATTATTTATTATTGGAGGAAACGTTGTATTTCAGAAGTTCCCTTCTAATCTTCTACTTGCATAAATGTAGTTTACAATTCTAATGATGGCAATATCATTTTCTTATTCTTTTATTTTGTATATACTTTCCCATACATGGTCTTCATATTTAACCTTTTAATTACTATAGAACATTACAGCTAATTGATTTAATTTCACTAGTATTAAACATTTCCTTTTTTCTGTTTTACTATTACAACTAGCATTTACATTAATTTTTCACCATACAGTGTTTTGTTTTGTTTTGTTTTGAGACAGTCTCGCTTTGTTGCCCAGGCTAGAGTGAGTGCCGTGGCGTCAGACTGGCTGACAGCAACCTCAAACTCCTGGGCTCAAGCGATCCTCCTGCCTCAGCCTCCCGAATAGCTGAGACTACAGGCACGCGCCACCATGCCCAGCTAATTTTTTCTATATATACTAGTTGGCTAACAAATTTCTTTCTATTTATAGTAGAGACGGGGTCTCGCTCTTGCTCAGGGTGGTCTCAAACTCCTGAGCTCAAGCAATCCTCCAGCCTTGGCCTCCCAGAGTGTTAGGATTACAGGCGTGAGCCACCGCGCCCCGCCCATACAGTGTTTTTTATTTTGAATTACTGCTATAGGACAAATTCCTAAAAGAGGAATCATTGAGCTTAAAAAAAATGATTTTAAAGACTTCTGTTTTATTTCCAGATTGTCCATTAAGAAGTATGAACCTCAGGTGGAAGACAGCCAGCTATCCTGAGGAAAACAATGGCGGAGCGCAGGGGAATTTTAGGGCAATGAAACTGCTCTGTGTGATACTATAATGGTGGACACATGTCATTAAAATTGGAACTTACCTGACCATGAATGGCATCCCACAGAAGGTACAGTGCCCATAGAATGCACAACACCAAGAGTGAACCCTACTGTAAACTACAGAATAGAATGTACAACACCAATAGTAAATCCAAATGTAAACTCCATATAGACTGTGTGATAATGATGTGTCGTCGTAGGTTCATCACTTGTAACAAATGTACCACTTTAGTGGGGTACGCTGATAGTGGGGAGAGGGTATATGAGAAATCTCTGTACCTTCCTCTCAATTTTTCTGTGAACATAAAACTGCTTTAGAAATAGTTAAAAAAAAAAAAGATGAACTTCTCTTTTTTTTGCATTGAGACCAGGAATACACATTTCCCTGTAGCCTCACTAGCAATATTAAAATGTCTTCATTTTTATTAACTTAATAATGGAAAAATAGTATTTTCTAACTTAGGTGGGTCTTCATTTTTATTAACTTAATAATGGAAAAATAGTATTTTCTAACTTAGGTGGAGCTAATTGTCCAATATTACCTTACTCTTTTATTGCCCATATTTGAACTTTGTTTATAGCTTTTGCCCAACTCACCCTTAGATGTCCATGTTTGAGATGAAATAGATGAAGGATTTGTTGTGTGAAGTTTGGATTCAGTCTAGGGGATACACGTTGAGACTGCAGGTTCCCCAGCTCTGGTTCAATTCATGTCTTCTTCCAAGCACAGTGACAAACAGTCTTTACTTCAACAGAATTCATGTGGCTGATCAGAAACCTTATTAATAATTTTAGTGATTCCTCAAAAATCTTACCAAACCAGACATCTTCCTCCCCAAATTCTTTCACAATTCCTTTCTTTTTTTTTTTTTTTTTTTTTGAGACAGAGTCTCGCTTCTTGCCCAGGCTAGAGTGAGTGCCGTGGCGTCAGCCTAGCTCACAGCAACCTCAAACTCCTGGGCTCAAGCAATCCTTCTGCCTCAGCCTCCCGAGTAGCTGGGACTACAGGCATGCACCACCATGCCCGGCTAATTTTATATATATATATATATATATGTTGGCCAATTAATTTCTTTCTATTTATAGTAGAGACGGGGTCTTGCTCTTGCTCATGTTGGTTTCGAACTCCTGACCTCGAGCAATCCGCCCGCCTCGGCCTCCCAGAGTGCTAGGATTACAGGCTTGAGCCACTGCGCCCGGCCCACAATTCCTTTCTTTTCCCCTCTAAAATTTAGTACAGAGATGCAGACTTGTGGGGTTTTTTTAATTATAGCATTTTCACATGCAAAAAAAGAACCAGTTTTGCAAAGAAGAACTAAGATTTAAAGAAGCAAAAACAGTTGTGGAAAAAATAAATGCAGCTGGAGAGAGAATGAATAGAAGGGGCATTCTCTTTGATTTTCAAGGGGAAATGAGATTTATGGATTGAAGGTATGTGCTTCAATGTTAGAATGTTTTTACTTTAAATCAATGTTGAAACATTTCCTTCTTTCTTGTGTGGCTTCTTGGCTAGTAGAACAGGAAATATTATAAGGATCAGTGCTGGGTGAGCATCTTATTCAGTACACGCAGCACTGTCCTTGTCTTCCTCCCATTCTTGGGAGATGACTCCAGTTCCTACAGGCGAAGATGAAGACCGTCTGACTTAAACTCTCTCGTCCCATCCCTTCCATTCCTGTTCCTGTCTATACTCACAGCTTTCTAATTGCCCGTACTGTCTCAAAAGAACCAGCAGCCGTCCTCACTGAGACTCTTTTCCAGAGAGCTCTAACACCTTCCAGGCACACTACCTCCATGACATCTCCTCAGACTACCCTCTCTCTGTGGCATCTACACTCTTTTATCTTGAATTCTTTGCCATCCAACAATCCTCATCACGAAAAAAAAATGTTTCTGAGAAGCTCCTGTCAGTGTTTGAGAAAAAATGGGAGGGGAAAAGTAATGATGCAAGATTGGTGTGTCAGGATCATCTGTGAGGGCCTTGAAATGTACATACATTCCTCACCCGTCAAACGGGACCCAGAACCAGGGTCTCAAGAATGTTTAATTTCTCCCTCTTTCTGTGCCCCAGTCACCAAACCCTGCTCAATCTTTGTCCGTCTTTCAGATCCATCCTTCCTTTCTTTTCTCACTACCCCAAATCAAATTCATCCCTCCTTCTGACCATTGAAGAATTTCTGGAATGGCTTTTTTTTTTTTTAAACAAAGAGATGGGGTCTCACTGTGTTGCCCAGGCTGGCCTCACATTCCTGGGCTCAAGCAACCCTCCCACATCAGCTTCCCAAGGAGCTGGAACTATAGGTGTGTGCCACCCTGCCTGGCTATATTTTCTACATGGGGCATGTGTTAGGCAAAAATACAATGATGGAGAAAATGTCAAAACAAGATCAATTGGCTGCCCTCCAGGGATTCAGTCTATGAGAGCGGCATACAGTTTCATGTGAAAAGAAATACGGTATTTAGAGGTACCATAAGAAGAGACTAAAGCACTCCTGGTGTCTGGACCCAGTCTTGGGATACGAAGGACTGGGTGGGTGAGGGAGGAAAGGCATTCCAGACAGAGGGAGCAGTCATGAGAAAAATAAATGCCATTTGATACAGCTGAAGTTCATATTGTGAATGTGTCATAAATTAAGCTGCAAAGGCAGGTCAGGTCAGCTCATAGGCTCTTACATGTCATGTTACAAGAGTTTGCATTTATAATAAAATGAAAATCCTCTAAACACTTCTTAAAAGGAAATAACATTAGAATTGCCCTTTAGAAAAAGCAGTCTGGCAGGAGGAGGGTATCTGGGAGAAGTATGATGAATGCACTGCAGGAAAAAGCCAGAGGTAGAGAACTGTTAAGAAAAGAACTGTAAAACTATTTTTTTAAAATGAGTAGGCTTAAATTAGTGACAATAGAGATAGAGAGAAGGGATTTTTTTTTTTTTTAATCTTTTTTCTTTTTTTGGCGACGAGGATGGGATTCGAGAGAGAAGGGATTTTATATCTGATTTGGGAGAAATCAGGAGCTAAATTGGGTGTGGGAAAATGTAGGGTCATCATGAGATCTATGACTCTGGAGATTAGGTAGACAGTAGTTAAAATTTTAGAGGTGGGAAATACAGGAGGGTGTAAAGAAGAGGGGTGTGGAGGGAGGGTTGATATGGATGACACGTCTTATTTGGGCATTTTGTGTTGGAGATGCCTATGGAAATAAGGAATTCCAGGAGGAAGTCGAAAATATGGACTGATAGATTTGAAAGTCATCAGCACATATATGATAACAGAAGTGGATGCACAAGATGTGGCCTGGGACAGCAAAATAGTCACACAGACAAATGAAACATGGCTGGCCGCTGGATTTGGTGGTGAGGCACACTTCTTCCTCATTCTAGGTGTTTCTTTCCAGTTAGGGGAAGCCCCATTAGCACAGCACTCCTAGTCTCTGCCTCCTCATCCACTTTGCTCAGGTCCAGTCCTCCATAAATGCATTCTCCAATATTAGTTTTATCACTAGTTAAGGTGATATTTTGATCTTACATTTCTGTCTCCTTGGTTAATTTCTTAATTTAGAATTTAGGCAGGGAACAGAGTGCTATTTATGTAGTATACATGAAAAACCCAAAGTGCCACTGATCAAATTATGGGACATGCTTGCTTCAGCAGCACATATAATAAAATTGGAACGATACAGAGATTAGCATGGCCTCTGCACAAGGATGACACATAAATTCGTGAAGCGTAAGAAAAAAAATTATGGGAAATCCCAACAGAAGACTAATGGGTAGAGTCAGAAGAATTAAAAAGAAAACAATGTGAATATAAAGAAATAAAAAGAAAATGGTGTCTGAGAGAGGTAATGAGTACCCAACAATGCCAAATGCTGCATTATTGGGTGAGAGCTATTCCCTTGACTGGTTGAAGCTAAAGCAGAGGGCTGAGAAGACAGAAGAGAAGAGACACAGTTGTGTGGCACAGTACAAAAGGCAGAGGATTTGGCGTAAGACCCACAGAATTTATATCCTGGCTCCATCTACTAACCCTGGTATTGGGCAAGATACTAGAGCTCCTTAAGTTTTAGTTTCTCCATTTAATATGATGGGGGATGGGAGGATTCCTTTATGAAAATCAACCACATGTACAAAAAAGTGCTGTTTTAGACTTTCTGGTAACACCTGAGTTCGCTAGAGTGAACTAGGTGAAGGGCTGCAGTATGGAGTGACCTATGGAATCAATCGTTTTCTGCAAACAGCAGAGAGAGACTGGCACAGAAACAATTAGGAGTGCTTCCCGGATCAAATAAAGGCAGGCGTTCTAGGAGCAAAACGTTAAGCGGAGGTGGAAGATGGGAAGGAGCTAAAAGACAGGAGGGAGGCTTGACAAAGGAACTTTATGGTCTATAGTAACTTGAGCTTTCCAGATGCTCATGTTTGTCAGGGACTCCATGGGCTGGCAAAAGCAGCTAAGCAGAACAGAAGTTTTTAATCTAAGCTCTTGCTTGCCCCATATCTGGTCACCTAAGCAAGGGAGCATCAATGGCCTCAGGACCAGTACTCAGGTTCTGGAGAGAATAAAGACCAAGTTAGTAACAGACATTATAATGTGAGGCTTAAAGTGAGGGTACAAATGTGAAATACATGGCATTGTCTGTTAAAGAATAATCCCTCAATAAATCTCAGACAGAACCCCGTGTTATGAACTGAATCATGTCCCCTCCCCTTGCCAAATTCATAGGTTGAATCCCTGACCCCCAATGTGACTGCCTGTATTTGGAGATAGAGCCTTTGAGGATAATTAAGGTTAAATGAGGTCATGAAGTACAGTCTCATCCAATAGCCCCACCTACCCCATGCACAAAGAAATGGACAGGTGAGGACACAGCCACAAGGCAAAGTTTTTAAACCAGGAACAGCCTCACTGGACACCAACCCTGCTGCCACCTCAATCTTGGACGTCCAGCCTCCAGGAATGTGAGAAAATACATTTCTGTAGTAAGCCACCCAGCCTGTGGTACTTGGTTACAGCAGCCTAACACGTTCCATGGCAGACTAATAAACTCCATAAAGGTAAGCAACTTTTATTACAAGAAGCTTTATTACAAAAGGGAGGAGGAAAAAGGTACAAGGAGAGTTCTAACCTGAATCTCACCCCAGAATAGCTAGAATGCCTGGCAAAAACAGTTGTTCTTCCTCTAGTCTCTCCACTCACCAGATCCAAGGTTTTGAAACTTTAATTTACAAAGCATCACCTGGGGGGATTCTTACTCAGTTTCTGCGGAGGGCCCCAAGAATCTGCATTTTTAACATGCATCCCAGGCAAAAACACAGAGTTGTCCTGAGGTACACTCCTGAAGAGAACAGCAAATGCTAAAGTTTGGCCCATGTGTGCCCTGGCACAGCTAAAGTGCTTTTTTCTTTGCACTAGGGCACCACTGACTCACCAGCAGGCACCCACAGAACTGTACCAACCACAGGTGGCACTTTTTTTTCTCTTTGTATAGACACTAACTCTTCTAATGTCCTTGATCCCAACTGATTCTGATTCAGGTAATTTGAAACCACATTTCCTGCTACAGAAATAAAATTTATGAAGGCCTCAAGATTTCCTGAGGAAAGCGATATAAATTTTCTTGGGAGTAATGTTAAAGATTGACAGTCTGAAAGGCAGATGAAGATTTGCTAGAATAGCCTGCAAAATTGCCTTATAACAATCGATTAAGCCACAGAGGGAAAAAAAAATGTAGTGATGCCACATGCTGGCAATATTTTTTTCCTTTGGCATTTTCCTCCAGACCCTAATATTAGGGCAAGAATATTTCTTTGAGAGTTGACACATCACTGTTGAAAATGCAGAAATGTTAGATAAATAACACTGCTTGTTATTCACAATGGTGGATTTCTAAATTAACCCAGAAGGAAATAACATTTATGTGGGTAATCATTTTAACAAGTGAGATGGTAGAAGACATTTATTTTTAACAATATAGAGAAATTCTGCCAAGAAACAGATGCCCTCTCACCATTTGAGAGAAAATGAAAATCCACTATGAGAGAAAACTCAAGGTGTCAACAGAAATTTAAATAGTGAGGCCCAGTAAACAAAAGCCAACTGAGGTATAGGGGGTAAACACTCCTGTCCCTAACATTTGTTCACTGAGGCTGTGGTTTCTGAATTTAATGAAGGGATTATTATGCTCTTGGATGGCACTGGAAAAATCGGTTGGACTAGCGGATCAGCATACAATGCTGCTTCCATGCCTGGCAGGTATTGTCTGTGAAGCTTATCAAAGGAAAATTCCTCTTCCACTGTCTTTGCCTGGATCATGTGGAACTTTTGTCAAGGAGCCATCAGGTCCCGCTGACCACGCATCTGGCCAGTGCGCCTGTAGCCAGCATTCTGAGCTGCTTCTTTTTTTTTTTTGAGACAGAGTCTCGCTTTGTTGCCCAGGCTAGAGTGAGTGCCGTGGCGTCAGCCTAGCTCACAGCAACCTCAGACTCCTAGGCTCAGCAATCCTCTTGCCTCAGCCTCCCAAGTAGCTGGGACTACAGGCATGCGCCACCATGCCCGGCTAATTTTTTCTATATATATTAGCTGGCCAATTAATTTCTTTCTTTCTATTTATAGTAGAGCCGGGGTCTTCGCTCTTGCTCAGGCTGGTTTCGAACTCCTGACCTCGAGCGATCCACCTGCCTCGGCCTCCCAGAGAGCTAGGATGACAGGCGTGAGCCACCGCGCCCGCCCGGCCGTTCTGAGAATTCTTCACCCTGCCTCGAGCCAACAGAGCTGCTGGCTCCCCCTAGAAGACGTCACTGCCTGACTGCCGTGTGGTTTGGCCTAGAGACGGGAGGGCTTTTCCTTGGCATGCAGTGCAGTGTGGGTCTTGAGGGCCCCCACGTAGGTGAAGCTCCTTCCGCACTCATCACAGGAAAAAGGCCTCTCCCCACTGTGGTGGTACAGATGGGCCTTCAGACTTCTCTTCTGCAGGAAGCCCTTGCCGCACTCAGGACACCGGAAGGGCCTCTCTCCGCTGTGCGTATACAAATGGACCTTCAAACTCCCCCGTATGCAGTAGCTCTTGTCACACTCCGGACACTGGAAGGGCTTCTCGCCACTGTGGACCCGCATGTGTTCCGTGAGCCTGTACTGCTGGGCGAAACTCTTGCCACACGCGACGCAAGAGAATGGCTTTTTGCCACTGTGCTGCAGCAGGTGGCTTTTCAAATTCCCTTTGAGACGGAAGCTTTTAGCGCATTCGGGACACTGGTAGGGCTTCTCTCCGCTGTGGACTCTCAGGTGCTCAGCGAGCTGAGACCGGTGCGTGTAAGTCCTGCCGCACTCGCCGCACCGGAAGGGCTTCTCGCCCCTGTGTGCGCGCTGGTGGAACTTCATGGAGGCCTTCCAGGAGAAGCTCTTGTCGCACTCGGGACACTGGAAAGGCTCCTCCCCGCTGTGGAGCCTCAGGTGCTCGGCGAGGTGCGCGCGGCGGCGGAAGCTCCGGCCGCACTCGGCACAGGGGAACGGCCTCTCCGCCGTGTGGATCTTGCGGTGCTGGGTGAGCCCTGACTGGTGAGCGAAGGTCTTTGCGCACTCGGCGCAGCGGAACTCCTTCTGCCTGCCGTGGACTCTGCGGTGGCAGGCGAGCTTGGAGGGCCGGGTAAACCTCTTGCCGCACTCCCCGCAGGAGAACGGCTTCTCCTCGCTGTGCAGGCGCTGGTGGGCCCTCATGGCGTTCCTCCAGAAGAAGCTCTTACCGCACTCCGGGCACTGGAAGGGCTTCTTCCCACCGTGCTGCAGCCGATGGGCTTTTAGGCTTCTCTTCAGGCGGAAGCTTTTATCGCACTCGGGGCACGCAAAGGGCTTCTCTCCGGTGTGCACTCTGATGTGCTCGTCCAGTTTGACCTTGTAGATGAATTTCCTCCCACATTCACCACAAGAAAACGGCTTCTCTGCACTGTGTGTCCTTCGGTGGGTCTTCAAGGTAGCCTCCCGAGAAAAGCTTCTGCCACACTCTGGACAGTGGAAGGGCTTCTTCCCGCTGTGCTGGGAAAGGTGGACCTTCATCCCTCTCTTCAGGCGGAAGCTCCTGTCACACACCGGACACCGGAAAGGCTTCTCCCCACTGTGCAGCCGGAGGTGCTCGGTGAGCTCGCACTGCTCCACGAAGCCCTTGCCGCACTCCCCGCAGCGAAACGGCCTCTCCCCTTTGTGCAGACACAGGTGCTTCTTCAAGTTGGCTCGATACCGGAACGTCTTGTCACACTCAGGGCACGGGTAGGGCCGCTGTCCTGTGTGGACAACCTGGTGAGTGACGAGGCTGCCCTTCAGATAGTAGCTCTTCTCACACTCATTGCACTGGAACCGTTTCTTCTTACACGGGAACCTCTGGCTCCGCCTGAGTTCAGGTTTCCCTCTGGATTTGCTTTTGTGCTTTGGATATTTATAGGGCTGGTTCTTGGAGTGGCTCCTTTTGTGGTTTACCAAGTCACTCTTTACCTGGAAGACTTTCCCACAGACACGGCAGGGATAAAATCTTGGGCCTGCCGGAATTTCCAAGTGACCTGGGGTATCCGGAGGCTTATGCCATGGGTCTTTCTTGTCCTGATTAGATGCTGTGACATTGAGTTTTTTATATAGAGTCTCTGTTTCTTGGAGACTTGGAGATTGGAAGGTGGTTCTTTCATCTGATAAAATCTTTCTCCCGTTCCCTGATAAAGTAGCACACAAGTCATGCTTTTGAAGACCATTTAAATGAGATTCCTCTTCTTTTGTCCCGAGAGTTCCTTGGTTGCCTGGAGAACAAAAAAAATACCGCCCTCATCAGTGGTATGTCTACTCTATAGTGGGAATTCAAGGACTGCCTTCATGTCACTAACAAAGTGGGAAAGGGAGTCCCATTAATCTCAATGACTCTGTGAATCTACCTCCTACAGATAAATTATATTTAGCTTTTATCTTCCTTTCACCATGTGTTAAGAAATGGCTTAGCATAAAAAATTGCAAGCAGATATATCTTGTGAACTATAAATGACCCTCGGAGAGTTAAGCAGAAGTTGGAGATAATTAAAATGAGTTATTCTGGGAAACTGATTGTACTTGTATTATAATATTTCCTTAGATCTGTGAAATAAATAGCACAATATTTAAGTAGGAAGCCTTAGGTCATATTCTTGTCCCCCTTCTCCCATAGATTTCAAGAAAAAATTTCTGGAAGAAATGCAAATAGAAAGTATCTTTCTCAGAAATGTCCAAATGGCTGATCCAGCAATCCCATTGCTGGGCATCTACCCAAAAGATCCAATGACACTCTACAAAAAAGACACCTGCACTCGAATGTTTATAGCAGCGCAATTCATAATTGCAAGGCTGTGGAAACAGCCCAAGTGCCCATCAATCCAAGAATGGATTAATAAAATGTAGTATATGTATACCATGGAGTACTATTCAGCTCTAAGAAACAACGGTGATATAGCACATCTTATATTTTCCTGGTTAGAGCTAGAACCCATACTATTAAGTGAAGTTTCCCAAGAATGGAAAAACAAGCACCACATACACTCACCAGCAAATTGGTATTAACTAGCAGCACCTAAGTGGACACATAGGCACTACAGTAATAAGGTATTGGGCAGGGGGGAGGGGCGCGGGTATATACATACATAATGAGTGAGATGTGCACCATCTGGGGGATGGTCATGCTGGAGACTCAGACTTGTGGGGGGAGGGGAGGAATGGGCATTTATTGAAACCTTAAAATCTGTACCCCCATAATATGTCGAAATAAAAATAAATAAATAACAACAACAACAAAAAAGAAATGTCTAAATGGCAATTTACTGACTTTACAAACACTGTAGAAATTACTTCCTTTTCCAAAGAACTCTGCATTATAAGAAAGATATATTTACATAAGCACACTCACTACTGTTCCCAATGTAACAGCCATGATGACAGGACATAGAGGGACCTGAGTTATCACATGATTACCCACTAGATCTGGAGAGGATAATTTCATTCACCTCAGCCATTGTATTTCAGAACTGCTCTCCCTCCACTGTCCTGTTGAATGAGATAATGGAGCTCACTCTTTCTTTTTTTTTTTATCTCTTAACCTGGTAGGAAACCTGAGTGCCACTTCCCCCGAGGACTCTCATTATGCCTGGTGTTCATCTTAAGGACAACGTAGGCTGGGTGCGGTGGCTCACACCTGTAATCCTAGCACTCTGGAAGGCCAAGGTGGGAGGATCACTTGAGCTCAGGAGTTCGAGACCAGCCTGAGCAAGAGCGAGACCCCATCTCTACTAAAAATAGAAAAAATTAACTGAGTGTGGTGGTGGGCGCCTGTAGCCTCAGCTGCTCAGGAGGCTGAGGCAGGAGGATCGCTTGAGCCTGGGAGTTTGAGGTTGCTGTGAGCTAGGCTGATGCCACAGCACTCTACTCGGCAACAGAGACCCTGTCTCAAAAAAACAAAACAAAACAAAACAAAACAAAACAAAACAAAACGGACAACATAAGTGATATTTCCAACTGGATCATGTTATTTAGTAAGTCAGCACTCAACAGCTTTTGCCTAGATCATGACAAGAGCACTGGATTCCTATTTCTCATCACTGGAAGTTTAATCTTCCTATAAACGTGCTTTTATTATTTAACCCCAGCAGAGGAGCAGTTGTACTTACTGACTGAGTACCACCTTGTACAAAAGGAAAAACACTGATTTTTTTAGGGATAGCCACTAAAGTTGTTAATTCTTTGGTACTAAAAAACTTTCCAGGCTCTTCCTTTTCTATAGGGTGAAGTCAAACTTTTCACCTTGGCATTCCTGGCCTCAGATAATCTGACACCAACTTATGTTTCCCCTTCTATCTCCCATCATGTCCCAAGAAGAACAGTTGGCTTTAGGCAAGTTGGTGTCTTCCCTGTTTTCTGAATGTAATGAATTTGTTCCCACCTTTGGGCCTCAGCTCATGTATTACCCCTGCCAATAATTCTTTCCCTAACCCAATCTGCCCAGGGTTTAGCTATTTATATACATCCTAATTCCTTTCAGAGTCCCCCTGGGATATTGCTATCTCTCCTCCATAATTTCTCTTCTAAATCCCTATAGCACTTTCTACCAATGCGACTTATTATTTTAACTTATGAGCAGTCTTATTTTATAGTTGACTGCCTTAATTGCCATGACACTAAGACAATCAACATATAGAGTGGAAGGGTTTTATATTATTTTATTTTTTTTGAGACAGAGTCTCACTCTGTCACCTAGGCTAGAGTGCCATGGCATAGCCTAGCTCACAGCAACCTCAAACTTCTGGGCTCAAGCGATCCTCCTGCCTCAGCATCCCGAGTAGCTGGGACTACAGGCATGCGCCACCAAGCCCGGCTAATTTTTTACATATATACTTTTAGTTGTCCAGCTAATTTCTATTTTTTTTAGTAGAGACGAGGTCTCACTCTTGCTCTGGCTGGTCTCGAACTCCCGAGCTCAAGTGATCCTCCCGCCTCAGCTTCCCAGAGTGCTAGGATTACAGGCGTGAGCCACTGCACCTGGCCAGGGTTGTTTTATTTATTTATACACACACACTCTCTATAAAATTGTCTGCCGTAGCCTAAGTAATATAATATTAATATAGTCCTGTGAGCCTGGCAGGTACTCAATATTGGTTAAATTAACAAATACATAGACAGTGGCAATGCACTGAAACTCTTGGGAATTCTTTTATCTTCTTGATGGAGCTTGGACCCATCCCCTGGTCTCAAATTCCCTTCTTCTTCAGAGGAGTTCCTTGACTCCCAGGGATTTAGTAAAGTATTCACATACTATAAAGGTGAAATAGTCCCTTAAATATTAGAAGTGTTAAGGTATTTCTACAGTTTCCATTATGACTCAATCATAAGGTTTTTAATATTTCTATATTCAAATGGACACCATGGTGTGACAGGGACGTGGTTTTTCCTCAGGGCTTTGACAAAGGGACCCTTGCTCTTTTATAAGGAATTCTTACCGTTTTTCCAGATTTTTTTTTTAATAATATAAGTTCCCTCTATAAAAGTAATACATTCTCACATTTGCTGCCCACTTGAGTAAAGAAAACCAACATTTTCCATCAAAACACAGATCTAGCTAACTATACAAAAAGAAAGATTCAGGAAACAAGGCCAGGAAAATTAATGATTCATGACCTTAAAACCATCTTACTCACCAAAACATGGTGACTTTTCAGTGTTCTTCAAGCCCAGCTGCTCATCAGAAGGGCTAATTGTCATTCTTCTTTCATCTAAGCATTCCTGATCTCCAATTAATAGCATTCTCCCTTGTTCCATCCATGTGATCAAATCTGGTTTGGAAAAAGCACAGCCTGCAAACAGAATCCACACAGACCCAGTTTGGGTTTACCAAGTACTTAACTAAAAATTATTTTCACAGTCAACTTGATTCCTGGAGACATGAGGCAAACATTCGATCAAAGAAATGGAAGTCCTTGAAATTACATGAATGACAATGGAATACAGCCCAAGGAAAAAACTGTTTAACTTAAATACTCTCTGCAATCGTTTATAAAAGTAAAGGATGCAGAGAAGTAAGGATGATGAGGATTTTAAAACAGCCTGACATCCAGGCAGAAGGTATCCCAAAGTGATTATTATGAGACATCATAAGAACAACCCGAGCAAAACAAAAGGGACACTCAGAGGGAGTTAGTGAGGAAGCTTTGATCACAAGGCCCACCTTTCTAAAAAGAGGCCTCACATCCAAGGAAACTAACTGCTGAGGTACCAAGATGCTTGGTCAATAAAATGAAAGAAATAGGAGGCTATTAAATGACAGCAATTAAAAAGGAGACAGTAAATAAGTACAAACATCGTGTAGCAATTAAAAAATTAACCAAAAAAAAAAAAAAAAAGAGGTAGAGAGTAAGGTAGTCTAATGACATAAGCCCAGAGGGAAGATGGGTTTTCATAAATCTGTAGAGTGAGTTCAGACGCCACAGCAGGAAGCGTCCTCCTCCTTCAGCCTTTGCTGGTGTTACCTAAGGCTCCTCTCTCAGATCAATGCTTCTCACAGGAACTGTGTATAACCAGCCTAGCAGTGGCTCAAGTATTTGTGAGAAATGTAGGTCCCTGTGTCTGATCCCGGGCCTGCTAAACCTTAATCTCTGAGGCTGGGATCTGGATATTCTGTAAAGAAATTGTCGGCAAATTATACCGTTTAGTTTTTAGGAACTAAAATTTGGGAAAATCAAAAGGAATTTTCCAAGCTCAAAGATGCTAACTGTGACAGTTCAAAATGTAATACTAGATCAGCGCATGGCTCTAATTTCCCCTACCCTGCTGGCCACTGGGCCTCAGTCTCCTCCCTTTAACCTCTAAATGCTGGAGTATCCCAGGGCTCTCTCTGTCCCATGCACATATTCTCTCTAGATGATCCCAACTAGTGTCATGGTTACCTGCTGTCTCCCCAGCCCTTCCTCCTGTCAGTGAATAAAGCCACTCACTATCAAGATACTCAAATCAAAAATTGAGGACTTGATTCTTCTTTCACCCTTTTACTCCACACCCCATCCATCAGCAAAATCTGGGATTCTACCTCTAAAACATACCTGGAGACCACCCACTTCTCTGTCTTAATTACTACCTACTTAGTCAATCTCACCAGCACTGCCAAGGCTCATGGCTGGTCTCTCTCTTTCCATTGCTATCCACTATGATCCGTTCTCCACACAGCCACCCAAGCAATCATTAAAAAGTTTATTACTCGCCCTAGCACTCTGGGTGGCCAAGGTGGGATGACTGCTTGAGCTCAGGAGTTGAAGACCAGCCTGAGCAATAGCAAGACCTTGTCTCTATTAAAAATAGAAAAATTAGCTGGGCATTGTGGTGTGGGCCTACAGTCCCAGCTACTCAGGAGGTTGAAGAAGGAGGATCGCTTGAGCCCAGGACTGTGAGATTGCAGTGACCTATGATGATGACACCACTGCACTCTGTCCACGGCAACCGAGCAGGACTCTTGTCTCAAAAAAATAAAGTGTATTACTTGCCTTTGTTTAAATCCCCCCATCATCTTCCCCTTGTATGTACAAATTGATCTTAGCCAAAAGGCCGAGAAACAATTCCCACTCGTATGCAGAATAAAATCTAACTGCTTCCCTTGGCATTATTTCCCACTGTCCTCTATGCATGTGGTACAATAGACTCAGTGTGGTTCTCAACATTTTGAACTCATTCTTTCTGATTTCTAGGCCTTTGCACTAGCTTTTCCTTCTGCCTAGAATTCTCTTCCCCCTGATTTCACATGGTTGACTCCTTCTTGTCATCCATACCTCACTTAGACTAAGTTATAACCCCCTTGAACAGAGAATGACTCCTTCAGGCTAGATGCAGATTATTTATTACATTGATACCAGAAGAAATGGGTTTTTAAATTTTTTTTTAAGAGATGGAGTTTCACTCTGTCACTGAGGCTGGAGTGCAGTAGTGCAATCATAGCTCAGTGCATCCTCGAACTCCTGGGCTCAAATGATCCTCCATTCTTAGCCTCCCAATTAGCTAGGACTGCAGGCACCTGCCACCATGCCCAGCTAATTTTTTTTTTGTAGAGGGGGGATCTCACTATTAAAAATGTTTTTAATGACATGAGAATGAGTTAGAATGACGTGGATAAGCAGCAAGGTATAATTTCCCCAAATTTCTTTTTAATGTATTTCTTGAGTACATTACCTGGAGTTATCTAAGTGTCCCATCCCACTGCCCTCTTCTCTCTTCCTTTACCCAGGCACCCCTTCTTGCCTGTTATATTCACACTATGCACTGTGTTGTGTCCCAGCTTACTCTAACTTAATTACTATGCCTCCTTCATGAAAGCCATAGTTCTTATGAGAAGATGTGAAATTCATCTTACTCAGGCAATATAAGCAGGCATTAAAGTATTTGTTAAAGAAATAAAAGAACACCCTTTATTAATAATACTGAAGGCACAGATAACACTGGATAAAAAGGGACAAGTTAAATATTCCCACACCATTATAGGAAGGGAAAGAGATATTATGAATGTAAACTGGACACAGTGTCATATTCAACCAGCTCATAGCCAACACAGGGAAGGAAGCCTCTTAGTATTAGGCTGGTTCCCAAAAAGTGATTCCTTTGAATCCCATCTTACCCAAGGAATCAAGGGTCTCATAATTGGTCTTCATCTCTTGCTTATACATTTCCTTCTGCCATTTCTCCAGGATCTCCCACTCTTGCTCCGAAAAATATAAGGCCACATCATCGAATGTCACCGTTACCTGGAGCCACAAACAGTATATACATACATTTTCACTTCAAGGCTACTTTTTTTTTTTTCAATGTCCCTGACTTTATTAAGAGAAAGAAAACATTAGTTATCTCTGCATGGTGCCATATAATATAATGAACATGATAAAGGGGAGCGAAGTAGAGTGAATGAAGGAAGAGCAGGCCATGCACCATCTAAAGAGGGATCCTTTCCTTAGCAGCAACCAATTACTGCTCTGCAAGACTTGGCCCAGTGTTGCTGGATGTGTCAATTTACAAAAAACATTATTTTGAAATAATTATAACTTCACAGGGAGTTACAAAAATATTGCAGAAAAGCTTCACGTACCCTTCACCTAGTCTACCTCAAAGGTCATATTATGTTATTATAGTACAATATCAAAACTAGGAAATTGACATTGGTATATTTATGTGTATAATTCTATGTGATTTCATCTCATGTGCTGACTCATGTAACCACCCTGCAATGAAGAAACAAAACAGTCAGCCCTCCATATTCCTGAGTTCTGCATCTACAGAAAACTCAGAAAAATTTTAAAAAGCAATTAAAAACTATAAAAATGCAAATAAATATAATCCAGCATAAAAACTATTTACATAGCATTTCCATTGTATTAGGTATTATAAATAATCCAGGGATAATTTAAAGTATATGAAAGGATGCATGTAGGTTATATGCAAATATTGTGCCACTTTACATAAAGGACTTGACCATCTGTGGATTTTGGTATCTGAGGGGCATCCTGGAACCAATCCCTCTCAGATACTGAGGAACGACTATGTCCCTTCATCACAAAGAGGATGTCCCAACCCTTTATAATCACACTCACTAATCTATCATCCATCACAATTTTGTCATTTCAAGAATGTTATATATGGAATCTTATAACATGCAACTTTTTTGTTTGTTTGTTTGTTTGTTTGTTTTGAGACAGAGTTTCATTTTGTTGCTCAGGCTAGAGTGAGTGCCGTGGCATCAGCCTAGCTCACAGCAACCTCAATCTCCTGGGCTCAAGCGATCCTACTGCCTCAGCCTCCTGAGTAGCTGGGACTACAGGCATGTGCCACCATGCCCAGCTATTTTTTTTTTTTTGTATATATATTTTTAGTTGGTCAATTAGTTTCTTTCTATTTTTAGTAGAGACGGGGTCTCGCTCAGGCTGGCTTCGAACTCCTGACCTTGAGCAATCCACCCACCTTGGCCTCCCAGATTGCTAGGATTACAGGTGTGAGCCATGGCGCCCGGCCAACATGCAACATTTTGAGATTGATTTTTTTTTGACTCAGGACATCCTTGAAATCCATCCAGGTTGTCATGTTTAGCAATACAGCCATGTGCCACGTAACAATGTTTTGGTCAAGTATGCAACACATATACCACAGTGATCCCATAAGATTATAATACTATTATTTTTACTGTACTTTTTCTGTTTATATACACAATGTGTAGTATCACTGTTATAATTGCCTATAGTGTTCGGTACAGTATCATGTCATACAGGTCTGTGCCTAGGAGCAGGAGGCTATACTATATAGCCTAGGTGTGTAGTAGGCTATACCATCTAGGTTTGTGTAAGCACACTCTCTGATGTTTGCACAAGGACAAAATCACCAAACAATGAATTTCTCAGAACGTATCCCTGTCATTAAGTGACATATGACTTCATTTCATTTTTATTTTGAGTAGTATCCCATGGTATGGATATACAATTTGATTAGCCATTCAACTATTAGGGACATTTTGATTGGACATGTTTTCATTTTTCTGGGATAAATGCCCAGGACTATAACTACTACATTGTATGGCAAGTATATGTTTAGTTTTTAAAGAAACTGACAAACTATTTTCCAGGGTGACCAAACCATTTTAAATTCCTGCCAGCAATGTATAAGAAATAACGTCTCAGCACCCTCACCAGCATTTGGTAATGCCACTTTTTAAAAATTTTAACTGTTCTAATAGGTATATAGTGATATCTTGCTGTGGTTTTATTTTAAATTTTCCTAATGAGTTACTGAACATCTTTTCATGTGCTTATTTCCCATGCATACATTCTCTTAGGTAAAATGTCTCTTTATAATTTTCCTAATTTCCAATTGGATTTTTTTTTACTATTCAGTGAGAGTTCTTTATATATTCTAAATATTAAGTCCTTTGTCAGATATGCGGTTTGCAAATTTGTTCCCCCAGACTGTATCTTGTCTTTTCTTTTATTTTTCACAAAGCAAAAGCTGTTAATTTTGATTATGTACAACTTATCATTTGTTTCCCTTTATAGATTGTGCTTTGTTTTGGTGCTATATCTAAGAACGTTCACCATCTCTTAGGTCCCAAAGATTTTCTCCAATATCATCTTCTACAGGTTTTACAGTTTTATGTTTTATATTGGAATGTGTCAGTTTTTAAAGAAAAATGTACATCATCAGGAAATGTACATCATATTATGTGAACCCTCATTTTGGCAATTAAAATTCACTATTTTAACAACAAAAAGTGTTCCAAACAAAATGTCTGCAAGCCATGATTAGCTTATGGACCATTAATCTACAATCTCTGGTATGCACTGACTAACCAGGGCTATTTCTCCTGAGAGTTTAGAGGGCAGATACACCATGGCAATAGGGAAGCAACAGAACATACATGAATTGAAAATTCCATTCTCACTCCTTTCAGATTCTGTGCTACAAGCATAGATGAGAGCCTCCCCTAAAAAGCTGGTCATCTAGAAAGAATGCTAGGGCTCTTCCTAAGTATATGAAAAATGGTGGTCACAAGTACTACAAAGTAAATTCTCCCAATAAGGGAATCTAGGCGACCTTACGGTCAAGGCCATTTGACGCTCAAGATTTTGAAGAGAAAAGTTGCAGAGATAAAATTCTATCATCAAAAGTATCACAGGCTCTGAAAGCTTCTGTACCAGGTATTATAATAAACAAGTTGAAACTGGTGTTTTTATAATGAGATTTCAACAAAATTCCTCTAGTTCCTTGTACCTCACCCATGTTTTCCACCTACAAAAGACTCATTTGTGACCATATTTACAATTAGCACTAAGCCTCTCCAGTGTAAAGGAAAAATTTTAAAAATGGTTCCTCCTTGCCTATCCCAAATAATACAATAGCCAAGAAGCTGTCGTCACATGTATTATGGACTCAAATTTATAGCCAAAGCAGCAGCACCACAAACTTTGACAGAACAGAGAGGAATATTCCAGGAGGTTCCTAACTGCCTAGAAAAGGAGGTGGGGGTGGGTGAGCAAGCCTGGCTGAAGGGACACAGCTTGAAGAATTCGGGAAAGAATGTGTACCTGCCAAGGGAGGCTAGGGAAAGGGAGTGGGAGCCAGAAAGGAAGAATAAAATGCAAATAGGGAGCATTACATTAGTAATATTATTAAATTTCAGTGGGGGCAGAAGGACAATTTGCATATTTAAGCAGGTTATACTTAACTGAAAGTAATGGGGTTTCTTGGATTAAGCCTCAGGATATGCCTTTCAAACCTTAAAAACAGTGTTCAAATTTTCCACTACCATACTACAGCACTGGTGGTAAATTTGATTTAAGATAACTACTCAAATTGGTTTCAAGTTTTCTGTCCTTTCCTAAAAAGGAGCAGTCTCAATTTCTCAGTTGTTTTCCTTCCCCTCCCTTTTTCTCATCTGCTTAGGCAGATGTGCTTCTCTGAGGCTACCTCCAGCAGCAGACCATGGATCAGCCACCAACCTTACATGTGAGCCCAAGACCCAGGACTTCAGAGCCCCAAGGGCGGGGACAGTGGTTGTCCAGAGTAGACGATAGGCCCAGACACCAGACCTCACCCGGCCTCTTATTTCCAAACTAATCTTTTTTTTCCCCAAAGAGACAGGATCTCCTTATGTTGCCCAGGTGGAGTGCAGGGGCTATTCACCGGCGCGATCCCACCACGGATCAATCAGCACGGGAGTTTTGCCTGCTTCGTTTCCGACCGAGGCCAGTTCACCCCTTCTTAGGCATCCCGGTGGTCCCCCGCTCCCGAAAAGACACCCGACACAGACGCCCAACTTAGTGAGGACACGCCATGGGCACAGCTCCCGGGCTCGAGCGACGCCCCAGCCTCAGCCTCCGGAGCAGCTGGGACCACAGGCGAAGCCGCCGCGCCCCACCCCACTCCGCCCAAACCGTATACTCCCAGATCAATTCCACAACACTGCGCGACCAAGGCTGCGCCCCCTCCAGCCCGGGCTCGGAGCTCAGTCCGGGGGCGAAAGCCAATCCCCCAGGCCCGGGTTTCCTCCGCCTCACTCCCTAGACCGGGACCCGACTCCAGCCGTGACAGGACTGTGGTTTCGGCAGAGCCTGCAGCCTCCACCAGCCCCTCTTACCGAAGCCGGCTGGGCCATGGCGGCTCCGCGGGAGCCGGCCCCGCAGCGCACGGCCCCGGCACCGCCCCGAACCCCAGCAGAGCCCAGGCGTCGCCCCCCGCCCCCGCCGCCAAAACGCAGCGCCGGCCAGGGCGCGGTGCATACTGGGACTCGGCGCCCCGGGACCCAGGGCGCCCCGACCATAGCGCCCCCTACGCCCGGGAGGAGCAGGCGCTCCCCACAGCGCCCCCGTCGGCGGGAGGAGCCGGTGCAGTCCCGGGGACCGCCCTCAGAGGCGGGCTCTGGGGCCCAGGACGCCCAGCCCCACGGCGCCCCCTGCGGCCGGGAGGAGCAGGCGCCGCTCGGGGACGGCCCTCAGAGGAGAGCCGCTGGCCCGGGCCGCGCAGGGCACAGCCCACCATGTGTGATGGATCCTCGGACTGTGTTGGGATCTCCAAGGGAGGGAAACAGTGGGAGAGGAGCTGGAGGGACTGAAGAGAGAGGGGCACGGGTGCGGCAGCCGGAAGTGGAGAGGGCAGAGTCAGGGACAGGAGACACATCCCCCCAGAAGCCAGACTGAGAGCAGGAGCCGGCGGGAGAGGGAGTGTCTGGGTCGGTCCCTCCGGAGCCACCCTGAGTCACCTGCGAGGGAAGCCCAGGGATCGCGCGAGGGCGGCGGGACCGTCCCGGAGGGATCACCGTGCAGCGCGGGCTAGTGCGCCCCGGGTCCACCCCGCCCGGCCGCGAGCGTGTGGGAGCGCAGGCCCGGTCCCCGGGCAGGCGGGCTCTGGCCACCACGTCCTGTCCCTCGTGGGTCGATTTACCCTGGCCAGGCCATGCTCCCTCCTGGGGCAGAGAGACGAGGCCTCCCGAGGCCACCTGCAGGGACGGAGACTGGCCAAAGGGAAGGGGGCCGGTGTCGGGGCCTCTACCGGGAGGCGGAGAGACAGAGGTGGAGAAGAAGATGGACGGAGGGAATGAAACCCAGAGCGAGAAGCTCCCAAAGAGACAGGAATAGGGAAAGAGATGGGGGGACACAGAAAAGGGTGACAGAAAAAGGAGAGTGAGGAAGAGGGGTGACTTTGTCCCTAAGAAAATCAACCTCAGCATCTATCCTAATCATAGTTTAGGAGTCAGGCTAAAGTAGCAGAAAAGAAAAGTGTGCTGCCTGGGAGGAGAGGAGGCGCCAGAGAAAGAAAACAGTCCCTGCGTAGCTATGGCGAGTGTGTGCCAATGTGTGTTTCCTATGCAATAGTGAACTTGTAACAGTGGGAGGCTTAGCATGACTAGCTCCATTTTCCCCTCAAGATAAGATTTAGTATTTATAGTTCTCAGTTTTGTTATTGTTTTTCTCTACGACTTACCTTAGATTAAGATTGAGAGTAGGTGTCTTAGCCTGATTTCTATTGCTATAACAGAATGCCTGAGACTGGGTAATTTATAAGAAAAGAAGTTTATTTTTTACAGTTCTGTAGGCTGGGAAGTGCCAGATCAAGGGCCTGCATCAGGGGAGGGCCTTCTTGCTGGTGGGGACTCTCTGAGGAGTCCTGAGGTGGTGCAGGGCATCACATGGTGAGACTGCCAAATTGGCTTTTATAACAGACCCCACTCCCCTGATAACTAATCCACTGCCTTGATAGCCCAGTAGTCCTTTTCATCTACGAATGGGTTAATCCATCCTTGAGGGCAGAGCCTCATGACCCAGTCACTTCCAAAAGTCCCATCTCTCAACACTGTTGCATTAGGGACCAAGTTTCTAACACATGAACTTTTGGAGGACACATTCAACCATAGCACTAGGTAAATAGAGAAGCATTCTTGGTAGGAAATAAAGGAGAGCTAGGGTAAGAGGAAAAGTAGGATAACAGTAGTAATTTGGGGAAGAGATTTTCTATTATTATTGTCCTTTTTAAAAATTTTTTAATTTTTTTAATTAACAAGACAAAGTTACATCATTTAGGAAATATTTGATTAGGAGATATTTGAATATTCATAACATCTAAATGGGAAACATGCAGAATGAAGAAGGATAAATTAATCAGCAAATATTAATTGAATATCTACTCTATGAAAAGTTGTGATAGATTTTGGGGGAATACAAAATGACTAAAAATAGTTGCTGACCTTAAGGACTTCACCATCAGGTTGTAGACAAATAAGGCACAACTCTATGGAACCAAAACTTTCAAGTGCATAAACTGTGCTAAAAATGCACATTAGCTCCTTGAGGAAAATGCTACTGTATAGGCCAGAATCTGCACTGAATGTTGTAAGGCTGGTGGCAGGCACTCCTCCCCTCCCTAAAGAAAAAAGAGAGACCCACAAAAATAACTGTGAGGCCCAGATAAGTTAAAGAATAATCACTCCCAGATGCCCACCCAGATAAGAAAGGTTTCAGTCCCTGGAGTCTATACCCAAGTTTCTGTTCCTGGATTCTGCAAATACCACCAGCCGCTCCTGTTTTGCAATAACCACCAAATGTCACAGTGAAGATTCCCCAGCTCTTCCCACCAAAAGTCCAAAAGTCCCTAGCTTGGCTCAGACAGTATGAAAACCTTCATCACTTTCAAACAGGCTCCATTCTCCTGGGACCTGCAAACCTCACCCGGGAGCACTCAATAAAGTCACGTTGTTTGGCCCTACTCTCTCTGTTTCTTTTGCCACCAGAAAACCTTACAAGTGTGTCTGGGAAATATGTTGAGTTAAAAACAACCCCTTTATGCAAATGGTCTTAACATAAGGTGGAATAAAGATAAGCAGTAACAAAAGTCCCAAACATCCACTCAAGAGATTGCACATGTAAACTGACAGTTCTGCTCAATCCCTTCTTCTCATTTACCATCTCTGGGAGGCAGAGGCCCTTGTGGCCCAGCCCTCCTTGCAGAGCCATTAGTCCTCTGGCATGCCTGTCACACTGCAAGGTCCTCACAGAGGCTCCATTTCTGTCTCTCCGGGACCCATGATTGATTCTGTTGCCTTCACACATTCTCAGCTCTGTGCTCTGCTCTCCTGAGTGCTGCCTCTACATCAAAATACAGAGCTTTTAAAGGGAGAGTTCTCAGCTTCAGGCATTTACTGTGGTTAACTATTCTTTTTTTTTTTTATTTTTTTTTTTTTGAGACAGAGTCTCACTTTGTTGTCCAGGCTAGAGTGAGTGCCATGGCGTCAGCCTAGCTCACAGAAACCTCAAACTCCTGGGCTCGAGTGATCCTTCTGCCTCAGCCTCCCGAGTAGCTGGGACTACAGGCATGCGCCACTATGCCCGGCTAATTTTTTTTTAATATATATATATCAGTTGGCCAATCAATTTCTTTCTGTTTATAGTAGAGACGGGGTCTCGCTGTTGCTCAGGCTGGTTTTGAACTCCTGACCTTGAGAAATCCGCCCGCCTCGGCCTCCCAAGAGCTAGGATTACAGGCGTGAGCCACAGGGCCCGGCCTGTGGTTAACTATTCTAATCACCCCATCTCCACCAAAGACAAAGCTGGTGAACTCAGCCAGCCGCCCACCTCTGGGCACCACCTGGGGGTTTTAACAAAAGACTTAACCTGCCTCAGGATGCAGGCCAGGATGCAGTTCACAAAAAAAGTGGGAGGAAGTTTTAAAAAGAGAAAATCTTTTCTTTTTTTTCTCTTTCCAGGCCATTCTCTGTTACAATACTGTATAGTTCCTCTACATCTTCAGTTTTATATTCAGAAATGGGGATAGCTTAAAATGATATAATAGAAAATTACTCGCTGTAAGCAGAAACATTGTAGACCACTTCCACAATTTTTCTACAGCTAACAAATGATGTAATGCACAAGGGATTTTGAGATTGTCTTGCCAGGCACAAGATACTTAAATAAGACAGAATAGCAGTTATTACATCTTTCAAAGGCTGATACTAAAAGGCTTTAATTTTGTAGTTTCCAGACATTACCAACATAGCAAGAGTTATTAATAGCCAATGGCTGCTTGCAGAGAAAGCAGTTGGTCAGAACTTGCTGAATAAATTGATGTGCCTTGATTTTTTATATCATACACGCTGAAAAGATCTTCCTTTGATTCTACTCTAGGGAAGATGCTGAAATTAATGGTTAAGGAAAGCTAAGATGCAGCTAGAAACTGCAATTATTTTGTTAACTCAAAAACCAATTAAATTCGGTGGCTCACGCCTGTAATCCTAGCTCTCTGGGAGGCCGAGGCGGGCGGATTGCTCGAGATCGGGAGTTCAAAACCAGCCTGAGCAAGAGCGAGACCCCGTCTCTACTATAAATAGAAAGAAACTAATTGGCCAACTAATATATATAGAAAAAATTAGCCGGGCATGGTGGCGCATGCCTGTAGTCCCAGCTACTTGGGAGGCTGAGACAGAAGGATCGCTTGAGCCCAGGAGTCTGAGGTTGCTGTGAGCTAGGCTGACACCACGGCACTCACTCTAGCCTAGGCAACAAAGTGAGACTCTGTCTCAAAAAAAAAAAAAAAAAAAAAAAAACCAATTAAATTGTTTCATTGTCATATTTCTTTAAGGACAAATTTTTCTCTAGTGATTTTGATTGCAGCAAGAGCAGTCAAAAATATTAGAAATTATTTTCTTTCTTTCTTTTTTTTTGGGGGGAGAACAAGAGTCTCACTGTCTTGCCTGGGCTACAGTGCTGTGGCATCAGCCTAGCTCACAGAAACCTCAAACTCCTGGGCTTCAGTGATCCTCCTGCCTCAGCCTCCCAGGTAGCTGGGACTACAGGCATGTGCCACCATGCCAGGCTAATTTTTTCTATTTTTAGTTGTTTGGCTAATTTCTTTTTATTTTTAATAGAGATGGGGTCTCACTATTGCTCAGACTGGTCTCGAACTTCTGAGCTCAAGCAATCCTCCCACCTCGGCCTCTCAGAATGCTAGGATTACAGGTGTCAGCCACTGTGCCTGGTCCAGAAATTACAAATTACAAATATGAGTCAGTACAACAATCTTAAATCTGCTTCTGAAAATATTGTGCCTCTTCTTTAAATACATAAAACTTCAGTCAGTGAAATTGCTTCATGAAATGCTGTCACCACATAAAAAAAATCTTTTAAGGCCAGGAACTAAATAGGAGAAAAGACTTACCTTAATGAGTTCCTACTGGAGGAAGGAACATGTAATAAATTTGTGGTAATATTACCTATATTATACAGGTGGTGCTTGTAAGGTTTTCTGGCAGCGAAAGAAGCAGACAGAGAGAGACAGTGAGGCCAAACAACGTGGCTTTATTGAGTGCTCCCGGGGGAGGTTCGTGGGTCCCAAGGAGGGGGGGGAGAAGTTGTGGCCCTTTGAAAGGGATGAGGGCTTTTATATTGTTTGAGGTGGGCGGCAGACTTTTGGCGGGAAGAGCTGGGGATTTTCCACTCTGACCTTCGGCAGTTATTGAGAAATAGGAGGGGCTGGGCTGGCGGTATTTGTGGAATCCAGGAACCGAAACTGTCTTATCTGAGTGTACATCCAGGTGTGGTAGTTTACAGCAGAGCCTGGCAGTTGTCCTTGGTGGGTCTGGTCTCATGAGCCTTTTCTTTTTGATCTAGGGAGGGAGGGGAGCCCTGCCACCAGCCTTACAGTGCTGGCCTTGCTGCTCCATTGAGCTCAGTTGAAAGTGTCTTATTCAGTAATGAAAATATCCCTTTTAATAGCCTAACAAGGCCTAACTTTAAAATTTTAACTACTACATTTAAAATAAAATTATAAAACTAAATTTCCTTTCCAAGGAAATCTGGATTGTTTTTCTTCATAACTGGTCATATTGTGACTCAGAGAATGGCAATTTTAACTATCAAACATCCACCATTTGATCAAAATGTATATGCAGGTAGACCTCAAATTACATACTGCACATGCAGCTACAGTCTAAGACCAAATTAGCACGCTCAAGAGCTGTTGTTCCAACAGTATGATTCTCATATTTTTGTGATTTACAGACATTTGTACCATTGTGGGCATTGACTTGATTCCTTTGTTGAAATACAGGTTTGGCAGGCTTTGACTCATGCATGCTTGAAATGCACACGGTGCTGGAAAACCAGGAGCATGTGGCTATCTTACTGTAACACTCTCTTGACCTGAAACACTGAACCTCCACAGATGGCACCTTCTTTTCGCCTTTCCATTAGTCCAGACCCAACTAACCAGAACTTCAAGCTTGACTTCTGCTGCCCTTAAGAATTCCACGTCCAGACCAGGCCCTAGAGAGGCAATAATCCGAGCCATAAGGGAGACGTAGAGAAGTATTAGGTCCCAACGCCGGCTGCTGGGGATGTGAGCAGCTTCAGCTTGGCGGCCACGCTTTTAACTTCTGCAAATGCCGCATGTCTCCTTCATCACTCATTTGTGCCTTATTCTAATCCACAGGCTCTGCACTCTGCCCATCCAGCAGAAGCGCTTCCCTTCAAGGCGGTGCCGCCTAATTGGGCCTCCATGAAGAAATCGCTCCCAGCACGCACCCCGCTTTGTAGCGGGCCTAAACTACCACTTGCGCAGGCTGCTCCAGGGTGAGAAAACAGAACACACGTGGGCCAGGTCCTCCAAGGCTCCCTGCGCGCAGCCGACCAGCCGCAGGGCCGGCAGGGGGCGCGCTGGCCGGTGCGGGCGGGCGGCGCGAGCCTGCGGCGGGTCTAGGCCGGCGCCGTTCCGGGTGCACTCGCTGCCCACGGAGCGCCAGAGGAGGGGTCGCTGCGGGCCGAGCGCCGCGGAGCCTGCTTCGCCGCCCCAGCTCTAGCCGGCCGGCAGTCCGCCTCGCGCCTCTGCTGCATCCCGAAGCCCGACGGCCGCGCGAGCCCCGTCAGTGCGGGAAGGCAGGGCCGGGCGGGTGCCACCCGCCGAGAGGACCGGGCGGTCGGGCCTGCGCGGTTCAGCGTTCTGTGGCGGCGACTGTCTCCGGGCCGGGCCGGACAGCGCAGGGCCATGGCTGAGGCAACCCCAGCTCCGGTAAGGGCGGCCCGCGCGCCAGTGCCGCGAGCCCGGAAGGGTGTCCGCGACCCAGACCCCGAGGGAGATAAGAGGGCGGGCGGGCCGTCTGGGAGCGGCGTCCTCCTCAGGGGTCCCCGGGCCACGTCGCCTGTCGCCCAGGGCTCTGCGGCTGCAGCGTGCCGCAGGGGACCCAGCGGGTGGGTGTGAAACCGCCCTCTGGGGACACCGGACTGGAACGCGGGTCTGCGAGGACTCGCTCACCCCCTGCGTCCCCGGGGGTGAGGCCCAGGGACCCCCCGGGCCCGCATCGGGAGCGTTTAAGCGTTTAAGCCAAGAGGGGCTGGCCCGCTGCGTGGCAGCCCACGACGGCTTGCCAGAAGCTGGGAAGCGGGGTTGGGCTGGTTTTGTAATCTGTCAGCCATTCTCCCAGCTGTGGGAGCTGTCGTCACCAAATCCTCAGTGCGGCGACCTGGGCGCCGGCGCGGCGGAATTTAGGCGCATTAAGGCGTCCTCTCGCCAGACTGTGACGACCGGCTCCCCGGTGCCGGCTGCCTGGCAGCGCGCGACGCGCGGGTGGCCCTCCGCAAACGCGTGCGGAATGAATGACTGGTGCGGGCTCCGAGGGTGGGATCGGCGGAGCGCGCGTTCGTGCTTCCAGCGAGTGTTTACGGAAGGCCCGCAAGGGGCCCAGCAGTGGCCAGTTGCCAGGGCGACCGAGACGTCGCTGCGCACGACCGTGGAATGCGGAGGAAACGGCCAAGTGAAAGACTGAAAGGCGTTCCTGGGCTTTGCCACCTGAGAAACCTTTGGTTACCTCAAGGAGAGCCATTGTAGTGGTCAGGAGCCAGACTGGCCCACCGAGGGGTGACTGCACTGTGAGGAAAGGAAGAGGAGGAAAAAGAGCAGCAGCAGCAGTGGGGTGGAACAGGGCAGGGGGTTGCCTTCTCTATTCTTGGACTTATTTTTCCTTTTCCCAATTTTATTTTGTAAGGTGGTAGAGATGATCATGTGCCTGTGCCAGCCCTGTCCAATAGAAATATAAGGGAAGCCATATACATAACTTTAAATTCTGTAGCAGCCATGTTTAAGAAGTAAAAAGCAGCTTAGTGCAGGGGTGAGCTCCTGCCTTCCTAGCTAATCAGGAGGCGGAAGGATTGCTTGAACCCAGGAATTCAGCCCAGCCTAGGCAACATAGCCAGACCCTATTTCTTAAGTAAAAGTTAAAAAGTTAAAAGAAATAGACGAAATTAATCTTAACGATATGTTTTACTTAACCCAATATGTGCAAAATATTATTTCAGCATGTAATCAATTTTAAAAATTAATGAGATTTTACTTTTTTTTTTTTTTTTTTTTGAGACAGAGTCTCACTCTGTTGCCCGGGCTAGAGTGCCGTGGCATCAGCCTAGCTTCAGCAACCCCAAACTCCTGGGCTCAAGCAATCCTTCTGCCTCAGCCTCCCGAGTAGCTGGGACTACAGGCATGCGCCACCCTGCCTGGCTAATTTTTTCCATATGTATTTTTTTAGTTGGCCAATTAATTTCTTTTCTTTTTTTTTTTTTTTTTTTTTAGTAGAGATGGGGGTCTTGCTCTTGCTCAGGCTGGTTTAGAACTCCTGATCTTGAGCTATCCTCCCCACTCGGCCTCCCAGAGTGCTAGGATTACAGCCGTGAGCCACCCTAGATTTTACTTTTTTATACTAAGACTGGAAATCTGTGTATTTTATACTCATAGCACATGTTAATTGAAATAACTATATGTCAGGTGCTCAATGGTAGTCACTACCATATTGAACAGTGCAAGTCAATCTTATGGAGAAGAATCAGGAGAGATTGACACATTGATTATAGAAAAAGGAATGATGTACCCAAAAGGTGGAAGGGGTCGGTATTCAGGGCATAAGTGGAGGGATTAGCTTTAAATAGGATGAAACATTTTCTCTTGGGAAGGAAAGAAGAAAACATGGCTTAAGTTACTAATACTGTAAGTTTGAAGTAGGAAGGAGTATGAAGAAAGAGAGGAAGTTCAGAGAGTTTAGTTCTAATTAATTTTCTTCTTCAAAGTAGTCAGCCATGTCCTCTCTCCTGAGAGTGAGGGGGCTGCTAATGGACAGAAGTCTTACTACTCTGTGAGCTCCCTGAGTCAGCTGCAGCATCACCTGGGAGCTTGTTAAAAATGCAGAATCTCAATTTTCCTTCCAGATTTACTGAATCAAAATCTGCATTTTAACAAGATGCCCAAATTATTCTTATGCACATTAGTTTGAGACTCCCGCTGTACTGAAGGTTGAAGGAGCATGCTGAGCATTTGTCTCAGCCACTTTATAGAATGGGAAAAGAAGCACAGAGGGCACCAGGCATTTTTGAGGTCCCCACTGAGCTCAGAGACCATTGGTGTGTGGTGGCAGTAGTTTACCTGGTTGTGTGATTTCCTCTAGTCGGGCTTGCTAGACTGCTTATAGGAATGGAGGAGAACAAGTGGACTTATTCAAGGCTGGAGGTTAGCTGAGGCAGAAAGACTTGCATGAATGTGGGGACAGTGGCAAGTTGAAAGTGGCTGAAATGATCAACTGGAAAAGAAAGCAAAGTCAGGAATGGGCAGATAGACCAGGAGCAAATGGAATGGCCAAAGGACCAGATTTATTAATGGGATTGCAGACCAGAGGAAATAAGAATGAAATTGTGACCAGACAGTAGTTTATCAAGTTCATAGAGTTAGAAGGCTTTGTAGAGGTCATCATACTCCAACCTCCTATTTGTTTGTAGGAATTTCTTCCTTTTATACAATTCTTTGTTTCAAAGTACATTCAGTGATGGAGCAACCTGTTATTTTCTTAGAAAGATCGAGTTCAAAAATTATTTATTAGCTGGGTGTGGTGACGCATGCCTGTAATCCCAGCTACTCAGGAGGCTGAGGTGGAAAGATCTCTTGAGCCAAAGAGTTTGAGGCCAGCCTGGGGAACATAGAAATGCCCATCTCTTGGGAAAAATATATATTGTGTCCAAAGTTTGCCTGCCTTAAAATTTCTGTATGTTGGTTCTAGTTCTGCCCTCTGGAATAAAACAATATAAGATTAAGTAAGTCTGTTCTGCCTTCTGTTTTATAACCCTCAAGTATTTGAAAACAACTGTCATGATTTCTCCAGATTCAAGATTCTCAGCTTATTTAATCATGAGTGAGTGTTGTGGTTATGGTTTGTAAACAGGGTGTGAGCAGGACCAGAGCATAAGTCTATATGGGATTTATCAGAGGGCATTGACTTTATAGTGAAACCTGGAAAGGATCTTTGGGCACATTTGCCTTTTCCAAAGATAGAAGATGCAGCAGCAACCTGAGCCTCTGGGCCTTATGTTGGAGGAAATATACCAGACTACTTCTTAAAGAACAAATTTCGGACAGGCGTGGTGGCTCATGCCTGTAATCCTAGCACTCTGGGAGGCCAGGGTGGGCAGATTGCTGTAGGTCAGGAGTTTGAAACCAGCCTGAGCAAGAATGAGACCTTGTCTCTACTAAAAATAGAAAGAAATGAATTGGCCAACGAAAAATATATAGAAAAAATTAGCCGGGCATGGTGGCACATGCCTGTAGTCCCAGCTACTTGGGAGGCTGAGGCAGAATGATCGCTTGAGCCCAGGAGTTTGAGGTTGCTGTGGGTTAGGCTGACGCCATGGTACTCTAGCCAGGGCAACAGAGCAAGACTCTGTCTCAAAAATAAATAAATAAATAACAAATTTCTTTCATTCACTGTGTTACCGAATCTATCTGTGAATCATCAAAGCGGTTCTCTTGGCTATTGATGCCAATGAGCTCCAGAAAGATGAGGCATATGCAGGCAGTACTAAAATTATATTCATATTAATCTCAGCTAGACAGTTAAGCAATCCAGTTAAGCAATAATTAGGAGTTAGGGTTCTTTCTAACACTCAATGTCTTGTTCCATCTCTCTACTGCACACAGACTTCTGAATGGGACTCCGAGTGCCTTACATCCCTACAGCCGATTCCTCTTCCTACACCCCCAGCAGCAAATGAGGCACACCTGCAGACAGCAGCCATCTCCCTGTGGACAGTGGTGGCCGCCGTGCAGGCAATAGAGAGGAAGGTGGAGGTCCACAGCCGGCGACTCCTGCACCTAGAAGGCCGGACAGGGACTGCAGAGAAGAAACTAGCCAGCTGTGAAAAGACAGTGACCGAGCTTGGGAACCAGCTGGAGGGCAAGTGGGCTGTGCTGGGGACCCTGCTGCAGGAGTACGGGCTGCTGCAGAGGCGGCTGGAGAACTTGGAGAACCTGTTGCGCAACAGGAACTTCTGGATCCTGCGGCTGCCCCCAGGTATTAAGGGAGATATCCCCAAGGTAATACCTTCACTTCTAAATGTCAGATGGTACCACTAGACCTTACACTAGCGGTTGAGGATAGTTTGGGTCAATCAGTTACTTAGATATTTTATCTCTTTTTAAAATTTCTTAAAATGTCTTAGGCCGAAGGATTCCTGAAAACGTTTTATGTTTATTTGAGAAGAATTTTGTGTTAAATTTAGTGCCCATTTAGAATGTCAAGCTTCAGGTTGGAAAATCCTTTTTTTTTTTTTGAGACAGAGTCTCACTCTTATAAATGGAAAAAAGCCAAACTCTGTAAAATAATTTTAAAGAGATTTATTTGGAGCCAAATTTGAGGACCATGACCTGGAGCTACTGCCAAGAGGCCTTGGGCAAGTGGACTCACTGTGGCTGGGTTACAGTTTGGTTTTTATACATTTCAGGGAGGCAGGGGTTACAGGTAAAGTCATAAATCAATATGTGGGAGGCATACATTGGTTTGGCCCAAAAAGGTGGGACATCTTGAGGGAGTGGGCTTACAGGTTATAGGTGGGTTTAAAAATTCTTTGGATTGTGGCTTGGAATGTTTAACAAAAGAAGCTGTTATCATAGATAAGTCATCTGACTTAGATTTGTTGTGTAAATTGAGGACCTGCAGGTTTGTCTTGCATACCTTTAGGCCTGTTAATGGGTTACAAAGGAAGTCCTCAAGAAGGGAGGGGGGCATCATGAGGCCTGTCTGACCTCCCTCCTCCTGGCAAATAATTTAGTTTTAGGATATTCCTTTGACCATGAGGGAGTCCATTCAGTCAGCTGGTGGGGATTGAGCCTTAAAATTTTACTTCAGTTCACACTCTGTTGCCTGGGCTAGATTGCTGTGGCATCAGCCTAGCTCACAGCAACCTCAAACTCCTGGGCTCAAGCCATCTTTCTGCCTCAGCCTCCCAAGTAGCTGGGACTATAGGCATGCACCACCATGCCCGGCTAATTTTTTATATATTTATGTATTTTTAGTTGTCCAGCTAATTTCTTTCTATTTTTTTAGTAGAGATGGGGTCTCACTCTTGCTCAGGCTGGTCTCGAACTCCTGAGCTCAAACGATCCACCTGCCTCAGCCTCCCAGAGTGCTAGGATTACAGGTGTGAGCCACCATGCCCAGCCAGATTGGAAAATTTTTTCCAGACTAAAGTTGGCGATCTGGTATATGGATTTTTTTTCTCTTTTGGTTTCTTCTACCCATTGCCCATTAGTCCCTTCTTTGTTAACCTGTTTGCCAGAATCTTGGTGAGGAAATTAAGCTAAATATATGAATCAGTTGATTTGAATTTGTTGGCAATTCTGATGAAAAAGAGGGAGGATGAGGTAAGGGATGTATAGTCTAATAGTTAATATCCGGGTTTGGGATTTTCCAGGGGTCCAGGATTGATGTAAATCCTGTCCTTTAACATCCTTTATAGAAGAAGTGTGCTGGGATGCTAGGGCCCTGTCCTTTTGGAGAAAATAGCTCATAAAACAAAAGAAAGTAAACATTGTTCTAAAACTATGGAAGACAGCCTTGAGGCAGCTGGTTTTCAAGCATGCCTATTTATTTACTCATTTATTCAACAATCATTTCTCAAATACTTACTATTTGCTTGATCTATACCCTGAGAGCATAGCAGTGACCACAGAGGCTCCTCTGGAGCTTAAATTTTTGTGGGGAAAGAAAGATAATATAAACATACAAAAAATACATCTAAATTCTTTATAAAAATAAAGTGCCATCTAGTGATCTACTTTCATTTGGATGTCAGAGAATGTCTCCTAAAGGAGCTAAAATTTAAGCTAAGACTGAAAGATGGTGTTGAACTCCACTGTAATAAGATTTGAGGAAGAACTTTCCAGGCAGAAAGAATAGCTAGTGCAAAGTGTCTGAGGCATAGATTTGGATCACTGAGGAAAAGGAAAAAGGCCAGTTAGTTGGTATATGTGGGTGAATAGGAGCATGACTGGAGAAATGGGTAGAGTGTCAGATCTTCTAGGTCAGTGTTTTTCAGCCCTGTCTGTACATAAGAATCACCTGGTGGGCTTTTTTCCCCCCAGCATATTCTGGGGGTTGCATGTTTAGGTTGCATATATTGCCTGTACCCTGTGGTGGGCTTTTAAAATTTTGATGGGCATCACAGCTACAAATTCTGACTTAACAGGTATAGGATAGAGCATAAGCATGAATCATTTTTAAAGCTCCATACATGATTCTAATATGTGACTAGGGTTGTGAACCACTGATGTAGGGCATTTAAGACTCAGAAAAGGAATTTCAATTTTCAACTTACATGTAATGAGAAGGAATTGGATGGTCTTAAGCAGAGGAATCATATTTGGTTTATATTCGAAAGAATCACTTTGGCTGCTTTGTGGAGAATGGATCATGGGGGCAAGAACAGAAGCAGGGGAAATAAAGAGGCAGCTGTAATAGGAGGGATGAGAGTGGCTTGGATGAGTTCGCAGCAGTGGAGATGGAGAGGAGTGGACAGATGTAGGATGTTCTGATGATAGCGTTGACAACCGGACTTACTAAAAGGAATTAGGAAATGAGGAATTAAGAACAACAATAATAAATTTACTGTGTGGTAATTTAGGTAGAACTTACTGTTCTAGGTGGTTTGCTTATTTTAAGGCATATAATTGTCATAAGAACCCTAACTTGCCCAGGATCATATAGTTACTTAAAATAAATGAGCCATGTTTGAACCCATTTGGCTCCAAAGCATACACTCTTTTTTTTTTTTTTTTTGAGACAGAATCTCGCTTTCTTGCCTAGGCTAGAGTGAGTGCCGTGGCGTCAGCCTAGCTCACAGCAACCTCAAACTCCTGGGCTCAAGCAATCCTCCTGCCTCAGCCTCCCGAGTAGCCGGGACTACAGGCACAAGCCACCATGCCCGGCTGATTTATATATATATATATATTAGTTGGCCAATTAATTTCTTTCTATTTTTATGGTAGAGACGGGGTCTCGCTCAGGCTGGTTTTGAACTCCTGACCTTGAGCAATCCGCCCGCCTCGGCCTCCCAGAGTGCTAGGATTACAGCCTAAAGCATACACTCTTAACCACCTGTGTTTACTGACTCTTAGGCTCTTGGCTTGAAGAACTGGATAGACGGTGCTGGCATTTGCTCCAGGGGAATACCTTGGGGAAGTGTGGTGTGAGGGTATAAGGTCCAGGTGTGACCTAGTGCACATGGGTTTTGAGAAAGATTTCTCCAGACAAAGAGTAGGCTAGAAAGAAGATGTTTATTTTACTTTTCCGAGGCAGAAAAGGGCCAACACTGAAGCAAAGGAGGTTGAGAATGTTGGCAGAATCAGATACTCAGACTTTTTTTTAGGAGGTGAAGGTTTATAGCTGTAGCCAAATGAACAGAGCACTGTGAAACTGCTGCATCTGCTCCTGTCTTTCTTCTTGGTAGCAAGATGTCAAAGTCCAAGAGTTGGGCCGGGCGCTGTGGCTCACGCCTGTAATCCTAGCACTCTGGGAGGCCGAGGCGGGCGGGGTGCTCAAGGGCAGGAGGTCAAAACCAGCCTGAGCGAGACCCCGTCTCTACCATAAAAATAGAAAGAAATTAATTGGCCAACTGATATATATATAAAAAAAAATTAGCCGGGCATGGTGGCACATGCCTGTAGTCCCAGCTACGTGGGAGGCTGAGGCAGGAGGATTGCTTGAGCCCAGGAGTTTGAGGTTGCTGTGAGCTAGGCTGACGCCACGGCACTCACTCTAGCCTAGGCAAGAAAGCGAGACTCTGTCTCAAAAAAAAAAAAAAAAAAAAGTCCAAGAGTTGGCTCTCCTGCCTTTCCTTGGAGAAGGAATTACCTCAGGAGATGTGACTTTGCCCTCCAGGAGATATGGTTGAGGCCTGAAGCCTGCATCCCACTGTTCACTCAGGAATTCTTGTAAAAACCGATCCTCAAAAGCAATTTTAAGAGAGAAAGATTTACATCTCTTTTCTGTCTGTTCAGCTCTTTCAGAAGTTGTACAAAACAGAACTCCTGCAGTGTGCCTGTTAGTGAGAGAACGCATAGGATTGATCTTTAACTGTTACTAGGAAATAGTGCGATTAGATATTTTCTTGTTGATTTTTGCAAGGCTGCCCCTTTCATGTGGACTTAGGGATGGGGAATGAGGAGTTCTCCTTTGGCAGTGTTAGGTTTGAGATGCCTCTGATACATTCAGGAGAGATATTAAGTCGACTCTGAAGCTCAAGAGCAGAGGGAAATATTTGGGAGTCACTGACAGAGAGATGGTATAGTAAGTCATGAGACTGGAGGGGATTATCTGGAGAGAAAGTGGATAAGCGAGAGAAAGAGTCCAAGGATCAAGCTCCGGGGTAGGAGGGCCAGCAGAGGAAACTAAGGAGAGGCCACCTGAGGTAGGGAAAAAAACAAACATGTAAGTGTGTGGTGTCACGGGGCCAATGAGAAAAAAGCAGCTCAAGGAGAGAGTTTGGGTTAAATATTTTACTAAGAGGTCTAGAAAGGTGAGGATGGTGAGTATGATTTGGTGACATAGACGTCACTGGTGACCTTGACAAGAATTGTTTTCCTGGAGTGGTGGAGATAGAAGGCTGGGCTGAGCAGGTGGAAGAGAGACAGTGGAGAGAGTGATGGTAATAAACTCTTTCAGGTTTTCTGAGGGGGCAAAGGATGAGGAAGTAGCTGGGAGGGATATTGGAGTCAGCTTCTCATGGAGAACCTGATCCCTGGAATGTTTTATTTGTGTATCTGGAGCTCCTCTGTAAGTTCTTTGAGATAATTTAAATTTTGTATTTATATGTCCAAAAATGAATAAATAAATTTCTTATTATAAGAAAATCAGCAAAGATAAGTTAAAGTTATTATCTTACCTGGATAAGTGGATAACATTTAAATTCTCCATCTTAGACTCCAAAATCATATATAATATGCTGTGATGTCTCTTAAAGATTCCTTAATGAGATTAAAATGCATTTTAATTCTAGTCAAAATGTATTGAAGATTGACTGAATTGAAATATAGTAAAT